AGTCTCTGAGATCTAGGCGCTCAACAAGACGGGCAGACAGACAGACAGACAGACGGACAGACAGACATGGCTCTATCGACTCGGCTATTGATGCTGATCAAGAATATATATACTTTATGGGGTCGGAAGCGTTTCCTTCTCTGCGTTACACACATCCACTTTTACCACAAATCTAATATACCCCTTAACTCTTTTTTGAGTACGGGTATAATTAGAAATTCCCGTATGGTAGCAAGGAGAAGCAGTTGAAAGCAGAGAAATATTTGTCTGTCTTGAATCGATAAAAAGAAAGGAATTTAAAATCACACACATTGATACGTTGAAAGACGAAGCTCTTCCAAGTCTTGAACTTTATTATAAGCCCTATATTCCAGGACTTTCTTTTTGGCAATGGCTTATATAGTGATCCCAGAATAGAATCGCTTGAGGATTGCTTTTTCCCAGACAGACAGAAGGAATAGAACCTCCTAAGAGAACCTTTGGCTATTCATTTCATCAAAAAAACTTTTGAATTTTCCCAGATTTTTTGCCAATTCAATTGGCTGGCCGCAAACGTGTGAACACTTGGATGATTGTCCAGTAATGCGGAGGATCATTTTTCATTTCACAAATTTTACAGTTATTATGAGAGACAAAGGCGGAAAGAAAAGCGACAGAAAGCAGCAGAAATATCCTTCAAGACGGGGCTCGGATTCAACGGAAGTTGAGGAGGATGATTATCTGGGTGCTGGCTGCTGCCTGTTAGCTGTTGGCCGTCGTGTCCTCTCGCATGTGTTTGGACAATGACATTTTTATTGATAAAAATTATGCACGCTCGAGGACAAAGGGAAGTCCTGTCGCTGCTTCGTCTTAATGTTGGACAACTTGACTCAGCACAAAATCAAAACGGGACGACCTTAAGACAATGATCCAGGAGCAGCACTCGGACTCTGAGACTTCTGCCTCTCATTCTTCATCTTGTGGCTGCTGCTGCTGTCATAATGGCTCAATCAGGCCCAGAATAGAAAACTAACAGAGCTAACAGCAACGGCCTCTCTTTCCCTCTGTCTGTCGTTGTCCCAGGACCTTTGTGTGAACAGAGTCGCGCTGGTGGACACAGGAAAAGGATTTCTGTGGTCACCGAACTGTCATCCATCCACTGGGATGGCGACAGCCCCGACGTCGGCTCACTTAAAACAAATATAATATTCCTATGTGTTTGTCTAACTGCTTCTTCGGCCATGCGTGATGTGATGGCTAGATGGTACATGGTCGGGTTAACGGTTAACTGCTAACGGTGAATCCTTTTGCTGGCCAGAACCCAGTTCCCTTTCTTTGATGAAAACCGACATCGAAACTCAGTCCAGTCCATTAACTGAAGAAATGTCAAATATATTTTTGAAAAGGAGTAATTAGATTTAAAATATGTTTTTAGCCAATAAAATGGGATATTGTCATAGATATCGGAATGGAACTCTTATTAGATTTACGACCAAAAAAGTAATCTCAGTAGAGAAACATAATCATATTTTTGGATGGGGGTTTCGGCTTAACACGAGCCGTACGAGCATATACAACGAGTACGCAAGTTTTATAAGTTCGCATAACATAATCCAATACATACTTCCCAATGTGCTGGGAATCCATTATTGTATGGATACGCCAAGTAAGTTAACCAAATTACATTATTGAATATTAATTTAATCCATTCATACTGGTTTTAAACTCTCCAAAATATATTTTGTTGTAACGTTCATTTGTAATATCTAGGGAATATATCATGGGAGGTGTTATGGGAACATATTGATGAACACAGATCAGATGGTTTCTGGTTCTGCATCATGGCAAAGTTCTATTACAAAACAGCAAGATCATTTACTGGGGCAGTTCGAATGAAATATTTGAAATATTTCCTCAACATTTCAAATATACATGTGTTCTTGGAGCATATGTTTTCCTCGTCTCAACTTCAAGTTTTTCCAAAAAGAATGATTTTTTATAGTGTGTGGATGTCGAGGTTTACCACTTGCACGACTTTGATATCAGATTCCATGCCACTTGAGTTTCCCTGGACGTTGCTTTAGTGGCAATCAACCTTCAGTAGAACCCCAAACGGACAGAGCAGGAGCAGTGCCTTGACTATGTTCTTCTGTGTACATTCTGACGAAATGCAAAACTATTGTTTGCCCTTCCACAGAGCCAACTGTGATGAGTGGGCGGGGCAGGGAGACGCCCATTTCAACTAACGATTATTTGGCAATTCTTGGACCGACACGACACGGACAACAAGATTCGATTCCGGTAAAATAGATTTAGCTGCTAAAGCGTAAAAATGCAGTTAAATCCTTTTCCCTGTGGTACATGCCAGGCCCCAGGTAGAAGTGACGTGACGCCCTGTTGACTTAAGATTACGACGACAAGGGAAGCAGCGAACAAGAAACAAGGAACAGTACAAGGGGAACTCATTGCAGGGTACAAGGTCCAGGATCGAAGGTAACCTCCTCACTTTGTCCACTTGTTGCTACTTACAATAAGCCGGCTGAGCTGCATAATTTTTCATAAAAAAAACAATAATAACACAATGCTGTATGGACTGACTGGCAATTTGTTTTTGGGGGGTTGCGTATTTGTATCTATACAATGTGCTATAGGAACTACTGGGTCTTCTTGATGACGTGCGCCAGGTCGTAGACACCGCGCACCGCCTTCAGTTTCACGCCGGGCACATCCTGCAGCCTACCGACGCGACAGAGAACGATGTTGTGCTCCTGCAGATTGTGTCCAATGCCGGGGATATAGGCCACCATCTCCTTGCCGGTGGAGAGGCGCACCAGCACACACTTGCGGTTGGCCGAGTTCGGTTTCCTGGGCTTCTTGATCAGCGTCTTTAGGACGACGCCCTTGGCAAAGGGTTTCCCATCCAGCGGCTGGCGTGGCGGCCTCGTCTTGATGTGGGGTCCAGAGCGATGCATTTGATTTAGCGAGGCCATGCCGCGCAAGGCGCTCACATAGCCGGTCTGCATGGCTGCAAAACAGTAGAGATTCGTCATTAATGATTGCTTCAAGTCGATTCTAGCACAACTGTACTGTGCATTTCACAGATCGGGGTTTCTCTCAGAGGAACATACAAAAGGGTCAGACCAGACAGTTGGCCGGCCGGCCATCCAAGATTGACAATGCCCGATGGGCCCTTTGTTGTGGCTAATCTCTGTGAAAATCGAAAATAATTGTGCAGCAGCCGCTGCAGCAGTGCAAAATCGTTGACAATGTTCGCTGGCTCTGCGCTGCTCTGTTCTGCCTGGGATCGCCAATAATTGCAGCCAAATGACGCGCAAGCGCAAATGTCCAGCAATGCAGCGGAGGCGAACAAAAGACCGTTCTCTCCATGGCCCTCAAGCCTTTGATTCCATGATTGAGAGAGTGTGACAATGGGGGGACGATCCGTCGTCCATCCTCGGAGCTACACGCAGTTTCGGGGCAGTTTCAATTATAAATGCCACACACCGACCGACACGCTGACGATAGCAGGTAATAATTTCCATATTGCGGATTCGAAGCAATAGCTATGCTCGACATTTGGATACAAAGGACAAAGGGCGGGCAAACATACTGGACAATGGCCATAGATGATCCACAGCCGCAGGTGTGGGTCCGGTCCGTGTGTTTCATTGTGGTTATTGTATTGGGCATGCAAATCCCCATTGTCGCTGCTGTTTGGGACTCTTTTGCCATTTGACAGCACTTTCGCTGGCAGGTTTTAAATTATTTTTTTAATTAAAACCCATCCGGGGGACACATGGGAAAGCGGCAATGAAAATATTCACAAGCAGCAGGCCAGCGGGGGTGGGGGTGGAGGGCCCCGAAGCGGAATTGAAAGCGAGCTGTAAGCAAGACGGCCACGCGCACGCGACCAAAAGAGTTGCGATTGAGTGCTGCTGCAGTGGGCACTGCACATTGAAAAACAAACACTTTATACAAATCATTGTGGGCACGATGCGACGAGGATCGCTGGATAAATACTCGCACAGACGACGAGGGAGAAATGCGCACAGTCATTGATTGGGAAAAACAGACCGGGCCGCTCCTGAAGGGGCTGTCTGGAGGGACCCTCTGTAATATAATAGGACGGGTCAAGTTTTTGCCCAACTTGCAGGCAAGCTTACCCTGCGCCGTCAATTGTTTCGTAATGCTGAATGTTTGCCGCAGGAAGTTCATGTTGTTGTTGTTACGACGGGATCTCTTGCCGGCTTCCAAGTTGAATGGGTTAGTGTGCCAAACAGTCAGTACTTTACAAAATAGTATAGTTAGGCTCCTTTTTAATTTATAAAGAGATTACAATTATTATTATTATTGTATTTGGTCGTTCATGAACGGAAAAAAAAGAACTACAGGGAACGAACTGAATGAGTTCACCTTAACCCACTTAAGCCTCCAATAAAATATTGGGTCGTTCATGAACTGAAAAAAAGAACTACAGTGAACGAACTGAATGAGTTCACCTTAACCCACGTATTTAATCGTATTTTTTGTTCATAATCGGAAATAGATATTCTCTAATTTTGATGTTCGGTTCAGTATTAATAGCTAGCTAGAACCCTCAGCAGATAAAATATAATTTCTTCTAATAAATTAATCATTTTTCTACAAGATTTGTTCATTTGTAGTACTCCTTTTTATTTGATTGCTTATAAAGTATGGCTTTAGCAGAAAAGTAATACAAAAATTTCCACTAAATAAATTTCTTACATGTAAGCTACACAGGGTTGCTCTTTGCTACATTGAAACTGGTTGCTGACGAAAAATATCGGGATTTTTGTGTGAAAAGCAGAAACTATCGGCGCTTATTTTGAAAATTGCAATATTATTGCCGAGTGTAATAAACAACAATAAATCTCTTTGCACTTTATTTTATAAATTAAAATTCTAAATTAAAATTGTTTTCTCCCAATTAATTAATATCCCAACTGTTGGATCAAGTGTGTGCAATAATATGACCGTGCATTGAGGCTCAGATAAAGAGGTTCTGTGACGAGATTTTAATTATCAGTATTAAATTTCGAATTTGCGTTTCTATTGTCAAAAGCTATTCTTAGAACAGTTCCACGGCATCGTCCTCGATCTCGACCAGAGAATAGTCGCTGGTGCTACCAAACATCCACCAGTGGCGCAGAATGTTGCGGATGAGCAGGCAACGCGTCGTCACGAACTCAAAGAAGTGGAAAAAGAGGGCGCTGGAGGTGAGCAGAGCACAGGAGGCGATGAATACCTCCTGGACGGTGAGCTGGTCGGCGCTGCCCTGGTTTAAGGTCTCCATGCACTGTAGCACCTGTACACAAGAAAATAAGCGCTGATAAGCAGTGATTGGGCCACGAAACAGGAGGGCCGTAAGCAGACGACTCGACCGGCACGGAGCACAGGCGGCCCTCACCTGCTGCAAGATGATGTGTCCCAACGGCATAAGCGAGACACTGAACAACACGTGCTTCACGATGAGGCCGCAACAGCGGCCACACCAGAAAGTGCGCATCATCCTTTTGATGCTCACCCGTTCCTCGGATAGGTCGAAGACAGCGTTGCAGATCTCGCATCGATTATCATGGCGGTGGACGATCCACCGCCGCAGGCACTTCAGGTGTATGTAGCCCTGCAATGTGATCGTCATATGATAATGATATCCGCAGAGCCACGTGCCCCAGGGTCACACTTACCACACTGCCCTTACACTTGCACGGACAGTTAATGATCTCCATGTCACTTCGGTTCCAGCGGCAGATGCGGCATGAATTTCCGTACTCGTTGGCTGAGTCCACGCTCTCCCGCGAGGACGAACGCGATTGCGAGCGCGCCCCTGACACAGGCAGGTGCGGTGCACCTCTGGGCACGACACCATCTGCAGCATAATCATTAGCTCTCTGGCTGCTGGAGCCGGCATCGGTGGCAGACATATCGGGGGCTGTCGTCGTCCTCCTGTCGCCCAATACACTGTTGAACAGCCGAAAAGCCGTGGACTCCGAGATGACGGGAAGCTGCTGCCGATGGGCCATGCCAATCGACTCCCAATGTGTGTGTTCTTATGGGCGTGAGCTTCGTCTGCTAGCCCGAGGTGTAAATACTAAATTTGAGCTGTGAATTTTTACATAAAGTATTGTACAGACATTTTACAATACGTCCAGTACTACAGTACAGTCGTCGAAAACGATACCCGGAAAATAAAGGCATTCTTGGGTTTTTTTTCTGTTCATGTTTTGTAACTTCTTTAAAAATGTTCCGGCTAATAATAGTGCGACCAATCGCATCGAATGTGACTTCTTTTAATCCAATCGCCATCGTCATGCCCCATAAATATAAATATGGGAGCACATGAAGTTACATAGAATATGTTTATTATTACGGTAGTAATTCATCAAGGTTAGTAGCCGAAGATCTCGTGCTGAGAAGATCTTTGTTTGCTTCTTCTTCTCGTTCTGCGATTTAACAATTACAATTATGACAAAGAAATAAATCAACAATTATTGCATAGTTTCTGCTGCGCGTTCGATAACAAAAAATAATGTGTAATAGTAATAATAATAATAATAGTAAAAAAATAAACAAACACAAAAAAAAAACGTACAAGATGCTGGTTCACTTTAGACGAGCCTGCGCTGCCATTTGCGGTTCCGTTTTATAGTTAAATTGGGTGTGACTGGTTGTGGGGGGTCCTTGGGAGTGGGTGAAATGCTCAGTTATGTTATGGGCTGTGTGGTGTGTGGACGGGAGAAAACTGCTTAAAATTTAATGAGTGGTTTGCTGTTGCTGTTTCTATTGAGAGTTGTTGAGTTGACTGCTGCGGCCTCTGCTTATTCCTTGCTGCTCCATCGACGGTGCTGCGCTGCTGCTCTCCCTACTGGCAATTGCGGAAACGACGATATATGCTCTGGACATAGACAAAAACGCACTTCCAATCGGGGCGACTCATCTCAACCATATCCTCCACATCCAGCAGCGGCGCTATGTTCGCCTTCTCGCTGCGGACGAAACGAAATCGTTACAGTGAGGATTCAATACAGTAGTATATCAGTGCAGTACTCACTCAGCAACACTGAAGGCCACCTCAAAGTTTTGTCTGCGCGTCTGTTTGGTTAGTTTACTGTAGTCAAAAGCATCTGGCAAGAAATGGTGGATCAGCGCACAGAAGGCCAAGCCGTCTGACCAGCTCGAGCTAAAGTTGCTTATTTGAACGTTCTGTGGATAATAGGCAAAACAAATTGGAATGAGTCGGTTCGCCGGTGGGGGGAAGCGAGCGAGCGAGCAATCGAGCGTTTGTTTGATTTGATTTGATTGGTTGCTATTTATTTTGATGGCGCCTTAGCAAAAGCATTAGGTTCCCAGCCCCAGCCCAAGAGGTGAAACAATCAAACTAAATGAAAAAAAAGTTAAGCAACAGTCGAAATGATAGCAAACACAGCGGCGGCAGTAATTCAAATGGTAAGCGGTAAACGGTTATAGCGACTGAAATCGGTTATAAGCTGCTTTCATCAACGGCTTCTACTGCTTGGTATGGTTTGCATTTTTGTCCTTTGTGTGTATCTGTGTCTGTAGGCAGAGGCGTGTGAGATCGTGTTCGCATGTGTGCGGCTTTAGGTGTTTTTTTGTATGTGTGTGTGTTTGTGTGTGTGAAGGAAGCGTTCAAGCGCTGTTATGAGCTTTTTCTTGTTTTATATTAATTTGTTTGTTTTTAGCTGATTGTTGGATTTGTCGTTAGGTGTTTTTTTTTTTGCTGGTTATGGAAAACTAAAATTGGAACGTAACGAACGAAACTGTACAAGTAATAAACAAGAAAATCAAAATCAAAGATAGGGAATTACAAAAATAAACGGTGCTTGGGTCTATGGCTGTGGCTTTCGGCAATTGCGTTTGCGTTTTGGTTTGGCTCATTTTTTGGTTTTTGTAATTTTGTTGGTTGGTTTAGGTTTTCGGATACCTCGTATTCCTGCGTTTTGTGCTGACACCACTGCAGAAGCTGATCCTTGACAGTGGCAGCGCGCGCATTTAATGCCGGATCGGTAAATTTGAACAGCGGCTGTGACGAACCGCCGCCAGGGGTCGTGGGTGTGCTTGTTGTTGGAGATGATCTGAACAAAATGATTCAAGGTGGGAGGGTGGCAGACGTTTTAGCGAAACTCACACAACAAAATAATTCTTTAATCTTCTTAGGTTCTGTTTTTGTTTTTTGTTTTTTTGGTTTTTGTTTTATTTTTCAAATTGTATTTGTTTTACTTATACTGGGTGTTCGATTTGTGTTTGTATTGGTTTTATTTCGTATGTGGTTAAGGTGTGGGCGTACATAAGTGTGGGTTTGGATGTGTGTGTGTGTGTATATTGTTGTGTTAGAAAGAGAAAAACAACAATGATATAAGATAATATGGAAATGAAACAGCTAACGCCGGTCTCATGTTCGTTCATGTCTGGATACAGAAAAGATCCAGAAAGACACAGAGGGAGAGATAAATATAGAAGAAAATTGAGAGAGAGAGAGACAGAGAGAGAGAGATCACTAATTTCACATAGAGGACAGACAGCCATTCACTCTCTCATCAACATAATCGGAGCTTGCTTTTGGGGACAACAACACTATAGAAAACCTCCATAAACAGAGAGAAATAGAGCACAGGACCAGCCACCAAAGAGGATCAGACGTTTTAAGTGAGTATCCGCGATCGTTGACAGAGTGGGTGAAAAAATGTATGCTTGTATGTGTCGGATTGTAGGCGTGTGCATGGGTGTGGGTGTGGGTGTTGGTGTGGGGTGGGTATGGGTGGTGCACCATTAACCAATGTGTTGTTGTGGATGGGTGAAGGGCATGGAGAGGCAATCACAATCATAATCGCAGCTGGAGTCCTGATAAGTAGGCAATAGGAGTGGCCATTGGCATTGATTGATTCTCCCGCCCACAGTTCGAATATGTATGTGTGCACTCACTACAATATGTTTAAGTGTATGTACATGTATGTGGTTTATGTGTGTGTTCTTACGTATTCAATAAAACTATATGAAAAGGAAGACTTACTTTTGGGCTTTTTGGGCGGCCGCCTGCTTATCGAGTTGCTTGAATTTGGCCAAGGGCGAAATGTTCTTCGAGGCAGCGCTGCCGCTCACCGTGTGCGTGGTAACTTTAATACGAGGAGAAGAGACAGAGAGAGGTAAAGCAGTGCAAGCAATTCGTGTTATATACTAGCTGAGGGGCGGCATTCCCAGAGACCACTCTCATTATAGTTGGTCCCTCAACTCGTGGCTCAATCTGTTCTCTTACCTTTTGTGGTTGTTGTGGTGACGCCATCCTTCGACTTGGTCTCGCTGCGCTGTTCGCTGGTGGTGGAGCTCTGCTGCCTGTGCTGCTGCGCTGCTGTTTGTGAAGAGAGTTTTTAGTGCGTTTTGATCGTGTGTGGACAGGCGGCAGGCAGGCAGCGCGAGGAAGAGAGAGAGAAGCAAACATTACAATGATTAGTCGGGTCTGGGCATGCACGACAAAAAATCAATTACATAACTATTTTGAATACACAAAATAAAATCGGGTGAGAAAATCAATCAACATTGGTGGTTATTCATATTACATACATGTGTATGTGTTTTGTATCTGGCAGGCAACAAATTTACACACTACAGAACGTGGAAAACAAAGCACACATTCGTTGGTTTCCTTTTTTGTTATGCTGAGCGCTACATACAAAAAAAAGTACAGCTACGAAACATGTAATTCAAAAAACAAGAAAGGCTGACTTCGGGGGCTTCCGAAGCTTTCGATACCCTTGCAGATGGGCCTTGCAAATAGAATTTTCTTAAATTTGATTTTTATTTTTTTTTATTAATTATTTTTTATTGGTATATCCCTAGGTAGAGACGGACAGACAATGATGAGGAATGGCTTCTGCTAGGGTATGGTAATTGCATAATTTAATGCTGCAACAGACGTACAGCTGTTGGTGGGTTGGCAACTCTGTATGAAGAATTTTCCCCCGCTAAAGAAACGCACTACGCACATGGAAAAATCAAAAACGAGTATGGTAGGGGGGGGGGAGGGAGGTATGGTATGGCAAAAAACAACGCAAAGTGGCAGCGAAGATTGCTGATGGTGTGGCTGTGGCTGTGGCTGAGTATCGGCTGCTGGAGTTTGAAGTTGGTTTTGGTGTGGCCAGATCTGTCGCTGCTGGTGGTTTGCTTTGCTTATGCTTATGGCTACAGATGCTCGTAATTTACATATGTATGACATGCACGATTATGGCTACAAAATAAGAAGTAAAAACCAAAGAACGAACGAACGCATGCGGTACACGGTGGGGGTGGGGGGACAAGAGCAGGTCAGCAGACTGAGCGGCAGCTGCTGTAGACAACAAAAATCAAATAAAAAAATCATATACAATTTTTCCTCATTTCAACTGGTGGGGCGTGGGGGTGTGTAGGGAGGTATATGTACAAAAAGAGAGGGCGAGAGAGTGGGAAGGCAACATGGGGGTTTAATGCTTCCGATGTGTATTGTCTTTTGCGCTGGACCAACCAACCAACCAACCAATAAATCAATCAATCAATCAACCAACCTACCAATCAACGAACAAAAGAGAGCAAAACGTAAAGGAACGGAAAAGAAAACTAACGAAACAATTTAACGCAACGTAATGGGTGGTACAAAACGTAGGGAAACGAAACGAATCGAAACGAAACGCAAAGGGAATAAGCGACACATTTATAACGGTTTGTCTGTCTGGTTGTCAGTGTGTGTGTGTGTGTGTGTGTGGTGTTTGGTTGTTTGTGAGTGTGTGTGTGTGTGGGAGAATAAATATACAGGCAATATATACACACATATACATATATGCAAATACATATAAATATATATTAGAATATAGTAGAAATGGCACAGTACACTCATTGACAGCTAATTGGGGAAACGTTGTTCCATTCCCATATTCCAATTCAACCCAAAAATTTAATTAAATTCAATTTGTGCTTAACTTGTGAGTGACATTCGATTTATCGCTAAATCTTTGCACTTTCTGAATATGTCAAGATTTTGTATCCCAAAACTATGCTTTTCAAATTCAAGGTGCATTTAAATTGGAAATTACTTATTACAAATGTATTAGAGATTTTGGAGCAGGACACATCAGAACACGTCCTATGTGAATGCCCTTGGCTGATACCTAACTTTTTTTGGGAATTAGAAGCCATCAAAATGACTAACTGCATAAAAAGGCTTAATACACAGGGATCTTCTACATTATCCAACTGGCCAGTACAAGAAGATCAATATCAATCAACGAGTATATATGGTCGAAGGGAAATAAGATCTTGCAATAATAATAATAATGGGGCTGTTGTATTAAATTCATCATTCGTAGTTATCCTTCTGAAATCCCAATTAGTTGTCAAAGACTGTACATACATGTGTACCATATGTGTTAGGCTGCTGCGGTGCGGATGGGGGAGAGGGGGGTTTAGGCAAAAAATAAGTTTCTTGGTAGTACAACGCTTTGGGAGTATAAAAACGGGGCTTGCAGGGGGGACTCAGGCTGCTGGCTACTGCTGCTGGTGGCATTTTTGTACAATTTTTCTATTGGGCGGTGGCGTGCTTTTTTCGGTGGTTTCAAAACTCACGAATCTCTGTAGTTGTTGTTGCTGTTGTTTGTTGTTGTTGTTGCGGCCTCGTTGTCCTACGATTGTTGGGTGGTATTGGTGGGTGGGGTGCATGGTGGGGCAGTGCAGCAGATCATTTATTTTCGTGTGAGGTGTGTGACCCTCTCAGCTGCACATGTTCTACTCCTTATTCAACCTCTTGCGGAGAGGGCGAGAGGGAGTTGAAACAACGAAGCCGCAAGAGAGACAGACACACAGAGACAGAGAGAGAGAGAGCGAAATGTGTGTGTGTGTGGGTGTGCGTGTGGGACTTGTGGGTGGGTTCTGGTTGTGCCTCTGAACTAAAGAAAAAAAAAGCTAATCCTATGCTCGATGCTCAGAGACAGAGAGTGAGAGAGAGAGATTGAGCTTGCTCTCTACAGTAATCATTAATCAGTACAGTTGCCTTTACAGTTGAACAGTTATAATTCTGTTTCGATGTCGATTTCGATTTCTATGGCGATAACAATTTCGATATCGTGTTCATGGCTTGTGTCTGCCGCGCATGTGTTTTATGTTTTTGGTTTGTGTTGGGGAAGGGGGTGGGGGTGGCGCGGTGTTTTGTGTGCTTTTGTGAGTTTTGTAAGTGTCTGTCTGTCTGACTGTCCGAGTGGGTGGGTAGGTTTCTTGCTTGGGGCTGGTTGATTCGAGAGTGGTTGAGTGGTTGTTGCATGGTTGCGTGGCCGCGCTCCTAGGCCCCCATCATCAGCTGCTCGAAGGCATCCTCCACATTGCTTTCGTCCAGCAGATTGAGATTCGCTATGTGCGGCATGGTGGCACTGCGACTGAGCCCACCACTGCCGCCGCCATAAGCAGCCACACCACCAGCATTGCCGCGACCCAGGCCCAGTCCCAGTCCAGCGGTGGACACGTTACCATTGGAGGTGCTGGTCAGGGAGCTGAGTGACTTGCGGGCCGCCGCCGACAGCTTCTCACTGGTCTTTGTCCGATTGATGGCGGATCTCCGACTGGCGGCAGACGAGCTGCTCGTGGAGGTGGATGTCATTGTGGTGCGCAGCTCCTCTACCTGCCCGCCCGTGGGCGACTTCTGGCCGGAGAAGTAGGCAGCCACCGTGCGCTGCTTTTCGCTGATCTGTGCCTTGTCGATCCCCGCCTCGTACAGCTTCGGAACGGCCAGGGAGTGGCCGGACTTGCAGCGACGGAGCTCTCCGGGCGACGTAGTGGCTGGTTGGCTGTACTTGGCCTGGCCTTGACCCAGTCCCAGACCACCCTGCTGCTGCTGGCAGATCTGGTTCCAGGAGTCGCATTTGCTCAGGCGATTGATGCGGGATCCGGCCGAGCCCTGCTGCTGCTGGATATCCTCGTCCTGGCTGCGGCGGCTCATGGAGCTGAAGGCACTCACATTGTTGAACACTATGTTATGGGGTATCTCGTCCTCGGGCGGCACCTGCGGCATTGGCTGCGGCGTTGCCGGCGTCTCCACAATGCTGGGCTTCTGTTGCTGCTGCTGATGCTGATGCACCACTGTCGTGGAGCTGATAACGGAGGTTGTAGTTGTTGTGCTGCCGGCGGCACTCTGCTTGTTCAGCTGCGGGCTCTGGTATGCATTGGGCACGTAATGGTGCCTCTGAGGCGGTCCGAATTTTTTCAGCAGCGGTGCGTTCTCCTTCGGCAGCGACGACTTGACTATGTCCGGTGTATCCGCCGGTGCCGAGGACTTGTACTCTTCCTGCTGCTCGTAGTAGGCCATCCGCTGGGCGGTCTCCCGCTGCTCCAACACATTGCCCAAACTCTTTCGCCGCAGCTCGTTGAGGTGCTGCAGCTCCTTCTGTTGCTGTTGTGTCCGGGTAGAGATTGAGGAACTAAGCGACTGCTGGGACATCACACGGCTCTGGTTCTGGTTCTGGCTCTGGTTCTGGTGGCTCTCGTATCCGGTTATTTCCTCGCCCTGAATGGTGTGGCTGCGGATGCTCAAGCGCGGCCTGCTGCTGCTGGGCGGCGCCTGGACCGGCTTATGGACTGGAAACAGCTGCGGTTTCGTACTGCGATCCACTGGCGGTGGTGCAGGGGTGGGTACGGCTGAGGCTGCTACTGAGACTGGGATCGTGCTGTGCATTGGATTTGGTGTCCAGCTGGTGCTACCCAATGACAGCGAGGAGCTGGCATTCGAGTGCTCCGAGGTGCGACGCAGCCGTTGGCTCAGCGACAGGGACATGGATGATTCCGGCTCGTGCTCATCCCCGGACTCGTCCAGCGGGTAGGTGACAACGTAAGATGTGTGCGTCTCCCCCAGGTAGCCTCCAGGTGCGCCTCCCCCCAAATCGGAGCGGGTCTGGGGCGGTGTGTAGGTGGGATTCGCTTGGTAGTTGATCACCGGCGGAAGAGCCGAAGGTGGCACACTGGTGGGAGTGGCTGGTAGTGAGGCGGATACTGGGGCATACTGGGGCTTCCGCTGGGGCTCGAAGCTGCTCAGCTGCGGGAAGAGCGGCTCCACCATGGGCGCCTGGTACTGTCGTCCGTCCGGCGATAGGCATACCCCCGGCTTCGGGGAACTGGGTGCCGTATGGGACTGTTGTTGTCCCCTGGACTGCTGCTGGCTGCTTCTTGGGAGTGCAACTGGCGCTGGGACGGGGGCTCCATTGGTGCCCCCCAGCTGCTTCATGGTGTACAGCAGCGACTTGGCCGCCCTCGAGTTGCGACCGAACACCTCATCATCGCTCAGGTGGGCCGTTCTGCGACCGGCCACCGTCACGGCTGTCTGGCTGCGCGGCTTGCGCATCACCTTCGTCTCGGCCCGATACTCCAGCATATTGGTGTCCGAGTCCAGGTCGAGATCGTCATCTGTGTTATCAGTGGTCAGGGCATTGGGTGCGGTGAGGAAGCTGGTGGGACTGTTGGCCGGACTGTTGTCCACATCCACGGGACTCGTGACGTAGTCGAATCTGCGACTCGATCCAACTGAGGGTGCCACGACACCGGCCCCAGGCAGGTAGGTGGGATTGGAGCTGGTCAGCACTAGAGGTGCTGCCAGGGGGTTGGTCAGGGCCTCTGCCTGATCCACGGCACTGGGCAGGCACGGTTGGCTGCGGTAGTTCTGTCGGTTCTGTGGGTTGCGACTGCGCACTGGCGAAAAGTCTGCGTACGTGAAGGATATGTTGGTAGGTGGCGGTGGCTGATACAGCTGCTGGCGAGAGCCTCCATGTGATCCTCCCACTGCAGGCACGATTCCGGGCTCCATGGCATTGGGAAGCGAGGGGCGCTTCTTGAATTCGCTGAGAGACGCTGGCGGACCCTTGGATCGCAGTGAATTGTGGCGCTGCAGGTAGCCATGGCCAGCGTTGGAGCTGGCCATAGGATAGGTCGGCTGCTGCTGCTGCTCCAGGTTGTCCCTCAGCGAACGCTCCTCAAAGTGATAGGCCTTGCGGCGGAAATCGCTGTTGTCCACCTTCGGCTTGGCCACCCACGGCAGGCCGATGGGCGAGGTGGCCGTGGAGGCAGGCGACGGCGTGTTGCTGTACGCTGGCCGTGCCTGCAGGTGCTGCTGTTGGACTGGAGGCTTGCCCTGTCCCGAGGGCTGCCAGACAGAGCCCGTCTGCGGCTCTGACTTCTTGGCTATGGGTTTGTAGATGCTCGGAGCCGCTGGCAGATCCTGATCGATGGGCCGGAACACGGACTGGGGAGCGTGTATAAAGTGGTTCAAGGGCTGTTGCTGTTGCTGCTGCTGCTGTTTCTGTTGCTGCTGTTCCCTTTGGTGCTGCAGGCGTACCTCCATCTCTTGGCGACGCTGCCGCTCCAGCTGCTCTTGCTGCAGTCGCTGGCGTTCCAACTGCTGATGACGGTCTGCCTGCTGGCGCTCGAGCTGCTGCTCGTAGTACTCCTGCTCCAGGCGGACGCGTTGCTCGCGCTCGTACCTGGCCTCCTGTTCGAGCAGCAATTGGCGTTCGATTTCCTGCCGACGCTGGCGCTCGGCCAGGGCTTGGGAATGAGCTTGGGCAGCGGCTGTTGCCGCCGCTTGCTGCTGTTGCTGTTCTCGCTGGAGATGTTCTCGCTGTAGCTGTTCTCTTTGCAGTTGATCTCGTTGGATTTGCTCGCGCTGGATGTGTTCTCGCTGCTTCTGATCCCGTTGGATTTGTTCACGTTGGATTTGCTCTCGCTGCAGTTGATCACGTTGCATTTGCTCTCGCTGAAGCTTCTCTCGTTGTTGCTGTTCCCGATGGATTCTATCACGCTGCTCTCGCTGCATTTGTTCTCGCTGCCGGTGCTCTCGCTGGCGCTGCTCTCTCTGGTACTGCTCTCGCTGTATCTGCTCTCGCTGCATTTGCTCCCGCTGCAGCTGCTGATGATGTTGATGTTCCTGCTTGGCCCACCCTGGCACATGGCCAGGCACTGGCGGTGGCTTACCCTTAGTCACGGTGGCCGCAGCCCCCGTCTCAAAGGTGTGCTTGATGTTCCCGAATTTGTGCGTCCAGTTGGAAACGCTGCGTCCTCCGCCGCCACCACTCCAGCCCAGGCCCGTCTGATGGCTCTGTTTGTTGATGAAGGCCAGGAACTTGTGATCGTTCTCCGTCTTGGGCTCGAACGGTGGTACGGCATTCTGTATGCGCCGCTTCACGCTCACCTGGACGGCCCGCTTGAGGCCCAAATGGGGGCCTTGGTCGTGCTCGTCCTCCAGGTCTGAGTCAGTGTCACAGTCGACCATGTACTTGGCCTTTGCCTTGGGTATGTCGATGGTGTTGGCTCGTTTCATCATATGCTTTTTCCCACCATTAAAGCGGGTGGAGGAAGATCCAGTGTTGGAGTTGGATACCTCCTGCTGTCCCTCTTTTTGGGCAGCCTCATAGCTGGCAAAGCTCACCGCATAGTCCCCGGACAGAGGGCGTCTATTGTTGGTGTTGTTGTTGGTCACTCTCAGCTGGGATCCCTGAGATTGGGGGGCTGGAATCTGCTGCTTCACTGGCTGCTGCTGCGGTGGCTGCTGCTGAGGTGGCAGTGGCTGCTGCGGCACAAACTGATTGGGTCTGTAAAGCTGAACAGCCGGTGTGATGGCTCCCGAGCTGGCGTTCTTCTCCAGAGCGAAACTCTTGTTGTTCTCCAGCAACAGCATGTCCTCCATGTAGCGCCTGGCGTCTGCCAGCTCCTCTCGACTGACACCCACCGTGTGGCGGCTGTTGCGTTGTCGTCGCTTGGCGAACCGCGACTGCCGGCAGTCGGAACGGGGATCCTCCATGCCCAGTCCCAGTTCCAGTTCCATTTCCTCCTGGGTGGGAGAAGCCTCTTCGGAGATGCCGCTGCTGTTGTTGTCTGCGGCCAGTTTCTCTGGGGCATTGAGTCCACTCTGGAGACGGGCAACAAGTCCGAGGAGAGCCTGACGCTGGCCCCCATCGACAGCCAGCTCTTTGCCCTGCTTCAGGGAGCTCTCCAGCCGACTGAGGGCGTCCGTTACCTCCTCGAGGAGGCTGCGATGTGCCTCGCTAGCATCGCTGCCGCTCCGCTGCTGAAGGGTGTCCCTCAGTCCGGCGGCCAGCAGTCGCAGATCCTCGCCACTTTCCGTGCCCGAGTCCTCCTTGGAGGGTACATTCAATCTGCTCACACCCGAACCCGTCTCTGATCCGGCTAACGCTCCCACTCCAGCTGCTGCTGCTGCTGCCGCTGGCATTGTCTCTGGCTTGGCTTTGTCCCTGGCCCTAACCACTGTGCTAACCTGACTACTACTCTGTTTCCTACTGCTACTGCTACTGCTACTGCTGCTGCTGCTGCTGGCTGACCCTGCTCCTGCTTTTGCTGCTGATTTGGCTGCTGGCAGGGACTCACCCTGCTGCACCTTCTGGACACCGTCTGTTGTAGATGTCGAGGATGTGGTCGTGGATGTTGTGGCTTGCTCGGAGAGCTCTACTTTAGCCAACTTTTTGGTGACACTCTCGTTGACTTTGGTCTCCTTGGAGGCTGCGGAGACTACGGAGACTACGGGGGCTACCTTCTTCTCTACCTTCTTCTCCTCCTTGAGCGACTCCTTTGTGGTGGTCTCCCCTTCGTTGTTGTTGTCGTCGTCGTCGCTATAGTCCGTCACCTCCTCGATGATCTCCTCATACTCGCTGGCACTGCTCTCCTCCTCCGCCTCCTCCTTCTGCTTAGAGGCTGCGGCTGAGTTCTTTTGATCTACGGCGCACGATTATTCACAGTGGAAAGAGAGTGAGAAAGTTAGGAGATAAAAGAAGAGACAGAAAGAGACAGGATTTAAAACGCGAGCAACGAGAACTCAAAGAAACGGAATGACGACATCAAGCAAGACAACAAAAGCTCGGGTCTTGGGTCTCGGCACGCGTGGAACTGGAACAGACAACCAAACTCTCAGATGCCCAAGCCGAAAGTAGTTTCATGAACCCGAGAATGCACCTTAGAACACCATGAGAATACATATATCACATGGTTCAAATAAACGCCTTTTCCCGTTGCGGGGCATCTGAGCTTTTGTGAAATGTCTCGAGCAAAATGAACAACATAAAAATATACAAAATATATAATGATAAATGCAGAGATATTCAGAGATAAATAATGTGTGGATCGATGGATCGATTCCAGTTCTTTATGGGACTTCGAGGGGGATCTTGACAGACGTTCTCACTGAGTGAAACGTTAACGTTTTAAACTTGATAGCGGGACGTGACCAGACGTGACGTAACGTGATGGGACAAGACGACAAGTGCACGAAATGGACTTGGTTTACACAATTGAGATTGAGATGGGGATAACCGTGGAACATGACTTGGAACAGAGCAATAGTTGGGGTGGTTGTGTGTAATACCTTTTTTTGTTTTGGGTGGGGCCCTAAACCGGGCAATCGTTTAATCGATTAAGCCTCTTCTTCAACTTTTAGTTTTCGATTTACAGTTTAGATTTGTTTGCCTAGAGCCTAGAGCCTAGAGCTGCTGTGTGCGCTTTATCCTACAAGATACAGATACAGAACACATATAAAGACACTCTGCATCCGATTATCGAAGAGTAAATCTCCTTAATCGGCTTTCGCTGGATATCAGTGGAGAGTGGAGCAAGGGGATGGTGGAGAGAGCAGCCTCCCATAATTGCTGCTGCTTCTGCTTCTGGTGCTGGAGCTGGTGCTATTGCTGTTCAAATATATAAATGGAGACTCACCTTCGCGTTCCGCCATAAGTTCGCGTATACGTGCACGGATCTTGCGACGCTCCTCGTAGGTGGAGGCCTGTTCCAGCTTCAAAAAATTGATGCGAAAGAGGTTTGATTGGGGAGGAGGTTCAGTCAATGGCTGCCCAGGGTCGGACTACCTACCAATTGCTTTAGGATCTGCTCGTCCTGTATCTCCTCGATGTCACAAGTTGTGCGAGTAACTGGTGCTGAGGAGCTGCTGCTATTGACAGTGCCAGTGCTCGTGCCAGTCCCCGATTTGCTGTAGGTATTGGTTATGCGTGTGGTTTTTACCTAAAACAGATAGATGTGTGTGGTGTGGATTAGCACAGGTTTTTTTTTTGTTTATCAACCGGAAAATTTTGTTTTATATTTTCCCCCTTGGTTCTCTCTCTCTCGCACGCTCGTTCTCTCTGTCTATGGGTGGGTGGTGGTGGTGGTGGTGCCATGCCATGCCGTGCCGTGCCAGCTGTTCAGTCTGGCTAAATAAAGCACGATGACCACATTTGAAAGCCAACAATTATTCTGTTGCCATGAAACTGGCGAGGGAGCCATCACTCGACCGACAATCGCTTCGACATTCGACGATCGATGGCCATGATAAGGCAGAAACAACACTTTTTCTTTGCTTCGTACTGTCGTGGCTGTGGCTGTGCCTGTGCCTGTGGTTGTCCTTAGCCATGATTATTTTGCGGCTTCCGATTGCAGCTGACTAATTGAACCGAACATCGGGGCATACCTCTCGTATGCGTAATGTGTGTGGGTTCTATCTAATATATGTATATTACGTATGCAACACGTTGCACCGCAGGCTCTAAGGCAAATGTTGCTCGATTGTTCAGTGTTTTTTGTTTTGTTTGGTTGATGAATGAATGCATGAATCGAATGCACAATCACTTGAAATAAGTAAACAAAGACTCTATTGAGAAAGACAAATCCCTTTAGATCTGGAACCTAATGGAACCCCATGGAATGCACTAGAATTAAGCATCTACCACTTAGCATTATCTACTCTTAATTTCAGAGAAAGTTCATTGGCAGACATTAAAATGATGGCAAAATTAATTTTAATTCCCACAAATCAAACACAAAAATACTCGTACAAATATTTCACTCAAAAATACTGCACCCCCAAGGATCAAGCAGTTTATAGACCTCTAAGATAGATACAGATGTATCTGTACATAGTATATACGTAGATTGCAGTACATAGATTTCGATGTGTGGTACGTGTACTGCAGTTGCCTTTTTGATGGTGGAATGCCGCAAATATTTTGTTCCCCTCTCCCTCTACCTCTCTTTCTGTCTCTGTCTCTTTCTCTCTCTCTATATCTATCTCTATCCCTGTCTATTTTGGTGGATTGTTTATATGAAAATTTGACCAAATTTGGTCAGCCGACAAATGGGGGGAAATTTTTTCAAAAACCGACTTCGAACATGTTCGAAAATTCGGCCACTGCTTCCTGCCTCTCGCTCTTCTGGTCTGTTTTTCTTCCCACACGCGTTGCTATTTTTAATTATAAATTATTTAAGCACACACACAAACACACACACACATGGAAACAGTTAGAGACACAGAGAGAGATATATTTTACATATTTCTGGTCGAAAAGGAAAAAAAAATTCTTCATATTTCCCTCTCTATTTTTCTCTCTCTCTCTCTCGTTAATTATATATATTTTTCTATCTCTCTCGCATTTTGTTGTTGTTTTAGATTTTCGAACCGAATAAAACTTTATATAATATTTATGCGGGCCTCCAACCATTATAAACAAATTAGAAACAAATAAAATAAACCAAGAACAACAATCTCATCTCTCAGCTTAAAAAAAAATATATGCATAGGTAAATATGTATGTATATATTGCCAAACATTTTTACAATATTTTTTTATACAACCATGTGTATGTTCATACATATGTACAAATTTATATTTTGTTTGCTCTATATTTTGTTTCGTTTTCTTTTTCTTTTCTTTTTGTCCACTGAAATAATAGTTTTGTTGTTGCTGTTGTCAAAATGTGGGCCACAAAAAATTCACCAGTAAAAATGTCATTTCATTTGATTTAGTTTACATTTCATGTGGATGCTCTTTCGAGATGATGGTCCGAGTATTTCTTCAATTCCCGTTGTCATTTCTTTGAGTCGAGACGTTCGGGCGAGCCTTAAAGGCACTTGCCAAGTTATTTGGCGCAATTCCGCCAAAGCGTGACAGGGGACGTTTGATATGTTAGAGATGGGGGTAAAGCACCGATCAAGAGCAAAATGCAACCATGCGTGCAAATCAAAAATGGTAATTGCATGAAAAACAACAACACAACAAAGAAAAGCAATTAAAAAACAAACTGTTCGGATCAAAAGGGGAATGTGTTGGTGAAAGGAGGGGCGGAGAAAGGAAAGTAGAGGGGGGCTAGGGTAGGGTAGGGGTAGGAGAGTGCAGCTGACCAAAGCGAACATTGCATTTGGCTTTTAACAGTGGCTGCACTTGCTTGGCCATTGACTCAATCAATTGCTCAAAAAATCCACGAGGAAGAAAGCAATAGAAAATAAAAAGAGATGGATATGAAGAGAAGGTTATGAGAGAGAGGGAGACACATAGAGAGAGCAGAGGGAGGGTGAGAGATAAATTCGAATGATTGATGGACTCCAATTAGCACAGTCCCCCCGACCAGCAATGACCTCTCTCCCTCCCCATCATCCTAGAGACATTCTAAAACAACCAACGAAAATCCACCCAATTTTCCATGGGAAAGAATGGTTTTTCATTCTCTGCTAGTTTCCACACTCAGACTTTCTTTCTTTTTATTTTATACTTTTTTTTGGTTGGTTTTCTCTCATTCTTTTATATTTTTAGCCTCTGGCAAAATGGGAATTATTTGACATGCAAAATGCGAAGCAAAGACAAAGGCACATGAACAGACGCAGAAGCACAACACTTCAAAAACAACTCCAACAACAACAACGATTATGAAACTTCAGAAGAAGAAAGAGCAGAAGGGGGACAGGGAGACAACGACTAAGAAGAACAGAAGAAGGCAGACGCAGAAGAACCAGAAAGAAAGTCCAACTCTGCAAAACGAATCATTACGTACCCTTTTTCGTTGTTGTTTTTTGTTTTTGTTTGAATAGCTATTACTTCTCAGTATCGAGTACATTTGTTGCGTGGGTTTATCCTAGGTTTAAGATAGCAGCGGTTGGCACGCTTTTTGCAGTTGCAGGAAAAGAGTAAATCTGTTCTCTAGTGTGAAAACAGAGACTGATCAATTCTAATGTGCAGATAAAAAAACGATTAGGAATATACATACATGTACATATATGTGTATGTATGAATGGTACCCATAGATTATACTCATACTGCATATTGCATTGAAAAAATTAGCATACCTCCTGCCAATTTAAGAGTAGTAATGCAAACCGGCTTGCCAGCTTTGAGGAGCACTTGCCAGTCAGCCAGAAATCTGGTGGGGCACAGAGCGACAGACAGAGAGAGAGAGTATTTGAGGAGGATTTGCCGCTTGCTCAGAATGTTACGCTCAACTAAGTACAGGGGCAACCACCACCACAAAAACACACCTGGGGGAAACGGTCAACAGAAATGGAATTCCCGCCTGGCTGCCACTTCGATCCATTGTGGTGGATGGTGATCTATAGACTGAATGCCAACTACATACAACTATATGTACATATAATGGAACCTTATCACAGTGCCGCCTTGCTGCCTTGCTGCCATGGAGTAAACAGTTCATGCATGAATTATAAAAGGGTTTGCAGTACGTGTTTTCGTACAAATAACCATATACTGCATATACTGCTCGTAGGCCCAGCTCTGCATTTGTAATCATTTGTACGAGGGAAGGCAGGTTATGCCACAAGAACTGGTTCATGTGTTAACGACTCCACGACTCCACGGAGTGGGGCAACTGAAAAACTACGCATACTGATTATTTGGAAACTTTAATGGACCCATGTGCATATGTATGTACATATGTATGTATGTTGTTCTTTTCGGTAGTTGGTCAGTAAGTAAATGGGGTTGAACCAGTTTAAATGTGAAATTTTGTAATGTGAGAAATCTTAAATAAAATATTTTGGGACTACCTCTAATGATGCTTTCTGCATGGAGAAGCAGTTCTTGTAGTAACATTAGAATTGCGAATTTTGCAATTTACAAAATATTGCTGACTGTGTTCAGTTATAGTCAAATGTGTCGTTTGAATTATCCAGACTTCAGTGGAAGATCAAAATAAGAGAGGGATTCAAAATGAATTATACGCGGAATCCATACAAAAGAGGAAGGAAATAAATATTCTTTAAAAGATAGAATTGCACTTGGAGTGTATGGAGTGATCCTCTTTTACAGTCTATTTAGCTTATGCAAAAAACTATTCCAAACATCGACTACGACTATATGCTATATCTTTATCTGTGGGGATATATACGTATGTATGATGTATATTTGTACTTGTGTATGTATGTATCTAACATAGTCCCAAAGCATCGCATCGGCATCGAATAGGGGGAAATGAAATGTCTGTGTGATCTGTGGGAAATTGGTATTTGGTTCACACACAAGTGGAAGAAAAACGGGAACATCACATGCCACAGAGTCGGCAGCGGCGCTGCAATGTGCGTTTGCTGCTGCACCATGCACCAACAGTTAGCTTCCTCTCCTCTCAAACCCTCTCTGTTCCTGCCCTGCCCTGCCCTGACCACCATGTGCGTCTCTGTCTGCAAGTTGCCCAAAAAAAAAAAAATTGGAAAATGCTCCTCCAACTATAGTCCGTAAAAATACTGCCTGCTTGCTCGTCGTTGGAGCTATTTTCGTCTAAATTTTCCGTACATTTGACGCTCTCATTCATGCATGCCTCCTCCTCCTCTCCTCCACGCTCTTTCCTTTTCTTAGCTTTGTTTTTAAAAAGTATTTATTTATTTATTTGTTGCTCTTGCTGTATACTCATACACATCTGCATATGCATACACACATACATACGTTCATATATAGTATAGAGAGAAAATAAAAATATAAATATATGTACAACGGTTTATATATAGCTCCCGATGGTGCCGTCGCCGTCGCCGTCGCCGCCGCTGCTGTGCCTACTCCTTTCGTTCAGGTGCATTTTGAGGTGTCGTGACAGAAATTCCTCTTTTTCGTTGCTGCGACGGACGGACGGACGGACGGACGCAGCAGCAAATTATGCGCACTAAAAATAATTGACTCGAACAGCTGCTCTACGTCTCTCCCTCTCTCTCTCTCATTCTTTATTTCTTTTTCTCTACTAATCTGCTGTCATCTGTCTCTCTCAGTGTCCAGAGTGTATTAAGGGACGGGGTAAGGGGGCAATATCGGTATACAACTCGCTGAGAGTCACACCCCCTTCTCCCCTTCTAACAGCATCCAAACGGTAAGTTCCGTTTCAACAGTTTACTAAACTTTGATCAGGGGAATGCCATTGCCTCACCTTCTAGGGAAATACACCTTGCCTTGCCATGCCTTGCCAGGCCCCGCTCTCTCAATTAGAACTTACGCTGTGATTTTTTTTGCTGCTTGCTTGCGGTTCTTTTGCTACCGCTCCCACTCTAACTGCTGATGCTGCTGGCTGCTTCTCCTTGCGGTTCTATGGTACCGTCCCCGCTGCTGATGGTGATGATTCTGCTGATGCGATGCTGCTGCTGTTAGACCAGATATGGATTCGACCGACACTCGCGCGTTGCTCGCTCTCCCGCTCTCTCGCCACAGCACAGGAAAATAACAATATTTAACAAAACTGCACAAGAAAAAAATAAAGAGCGAAGAAGCCAGAAACTTGTCTTCTTTTGTTATTCTCCTGCTTCTTTTTCTTTTTTACTTTGATTTTTTATTTCTTTTTTATTCTAAACTTTTTTGTTTGCGAGAAATTCTTTCTTTCTTTCTTGGCACTTTTTGCTTTCTTTCTTCGCCTGCCTGCCTGCCTGCTGCTGCTGGTGCTGCCTGCTTTCTCTGCTTGTCGTCGGATCAAGTAGTTCTTCGCACAAGTGATCGATGCCGCCTCTGAGTGTGTACTGACGCCGTTGCTGTCGCTGTCGATTCGGATACGGAGAGATGCCACTGCCACTGCCGATGGCGATGCTTGCTGCTCTGACCAGCCAGGCGGTGCCCCTCATATCACGCATTCGGCGGCGCACACGGCACACACAACCGCAGGCAGCAACAGAAGTAGAGAGAGCGACAGAGAGCAGTGGAGAGAGTGGTGCACAGAAAGCAAGCGAGAGAAGGAGAGAGAGAGAGAGAGTACCAGTACCAGTGACAGTGCCAGTGCCAGTGCGATCACTCAATCGGTGAACCGTTAGTCGGGCACGTGCTTGGCTCTGGGACTCTGTTAATATTATTATTATTTTTGTACTTAAACCAAATACTGATCTTTTGTGCCGGGCAGCAGGATTAAGTATGTGGAAAATCCACATATATCCGCAACTTTAGATTTTAATTTGAGAGGTAAAGTTTACAGAATGAATGATCCTTTTTTTCTTCCGAATGATATAATGATTTAATCCCATCCTGGCGGTCTCCTAATCTAATGTAGAATAATTATAATTCACGCCTTATAGTGCATATTCCACGTTTTGGAAGCGTATACCAAGAGAGGAACCAGAGGAACGCACTGAACCGTTATTCGGACACGTGCCTGACCCACATTTGAGGTTAGGTTGGAAATTTTCAATAGTTGAAGCATGAGATGATGGAGATGAGGCAGATGGAGAGATACTCGTACCAAAAAGTGAGAAAAGCAACACTTGTTCCACTCTCTAACTCATTCAAGCGATTAATTGGTCACTCGCTTAGGAACAACTGAGACAAATTTGTTGTTTCGTTTGGGATTTATTAAAAGGAAAGTACAAATCGACACCTCATCACTTTCTTGTGAAAGGCATTAAATGGAGAAAACATATACATACATAATGCATATTTCCTTTTTAGATTCCCGATATTTGTGTACGGCTACTCACCCCTTGGCTATTCAGACGCTGACCCGTGGCCGTTGCTGGTAGCATGCTCTCCACGCCCTGCATTATCACACTTGCCCCAAGGAATTTGTTGAGCAGAGCACGTGCCTCACGATCTTCGTTTGTGTCGCCAGGCTCCGCCACTAAAAAGGAGATGGTTTCATTAAATGAAGAGGGAAATTTCACTTGGCCTCGGGCCTCACCATTATCGGCATTTCGCATGCGCTCCAGGACATCATCCACGCTGGTCACCTGCCGCTGATCCGCGCTGCTGTTGAGGAAGGAGCGCGTGTTGCTGGATCGGGTGGTGGTTGTGCTGCTTGAGCCCTGGCGCATCTGTGGTGCCTCGATGACGCTGCACACCTCATTGGATTCGCTGTCCTCGGTCTCCTCTTCCTCTTCCTCCTCCGCATCGGCATGCTCGGTGCGGCTGCTGATCAGCGACTGCGAGGTGCTGGAGTGGGTCGACGAGGAGGACTCCTTCCGTATGAACTTCTCGCTGAGCTCCTTCACCGAACCCCGGCGGACATATCTGGCATCTATCTCTGCCTGCGGCTGACCATCGGACTCGGACTCGATTTTTTTGAACTCTCTGACCAGCTTGGTATTCAACTCTGGCTGGTAGTCGTCGTCCAGCAGCAGCTGCTTCTGAATGGAGGCCAGCTCATCTGCATTGCTCGAGTAGATCAGCTCCTTGCGCTCGTGACGGGGCGGGGACTTGTTGTCCGAGTAGAACTGCTCCTCGATCACATAGCCTGTGACTTCTAGGAAACGGAATCGGATTAGAGATAAGAGACTATTGGATGAACGACGGACTGGTTTGGGTTTAATCTCTCACCTTGCTTGGTCTCACACGGTGCCGGCTGGCTTTTCTTCTTGAGGGCTCTTATCCCAAAGAGAGGCAGTCCATTCTCGTCCGTGGGTCCCACTCCGTAGCTGGATGTGATGGAGTCCTCCTCGCGCTGCTTGCCTGCCTTGGTGCTAGATTTGGCGGTGGAACTGGAGCTAGTGCTGGTGCTGGTGCTCTGCAGGGTTCGTGTCGTCTTCCCAGTGGTGCTGGTACTGCTAGTGGTACTCGTGGCAGATCCCTTCCGCGGACTGGATCCACCATTCGAGACGGGGCCGTGACTCTTCAGAACCTTAGTGCGATCTGCCCAGATGGGTCCTTGGTGTGATGGCTTGCTGGGTGGACCAGCACGTGCCCCAGTGGCACTGTTCGGATTCGGATTCCGAGTGGTGCTTGTGCTGCTGCTCACAGGCGATGGCTTGCCGGGCGGACTGCTGCGGCGGCGTAGGGCCGGACTGGCACTCCTCTCTCGTGGCTTCACCGGCGGCTTGCCCTGAGGTGTTGCTCCACCTGGGCCAGTGGTGCTGTCCACCTGCTCTCCTCGCTGTCTCCTGGTGGTGGTGGTGCTGCTGGTGGTGGTACGCCCTTCCTTGAGGCTGCTGCTAATGGTCTTGGACTCCGGACTGCGACTACGATCGCGAGGAGGAGTTGCATTCTGCTGCTGGGGCTGCTTCTTCGTTGGCTGCGCTGGCGCAGCACTGGGAGAGGTCTTCACCACCGTCGTAGTGGTAGTGGTGGTGGTGCTGCTGCTGCTGGCAGTCCCCGCATTGATCATATTCTTTCTTATGAGCCGCATCTGCGCGCGTATACGGCGACGCATCTCGTAGCTGCTCACAGTCTCCAGCAGCTGTTCGAGTATCTGCAGATCGAAGATCCCTTCAATCTCCTGATCAACCCTCAGTTTGATTTTCTCCTCCTTCTTGGGCACATCAAACTTCACCGCGGTATTCGGATTGCGTGGCTCCATTCCGGAATCGTCTTCCACTGAGGACTTGCGCGAATAGTTGTTCTTATTGATCTCCAGAGAGTCACGGCGTATGTGCTCCAGCGAGCTCTTGGTGTGATCCATGTACGAGGGACGACGCCCGCCAGGCTGTGGCTCAGTTGGGGCTGCCTGCCTGTGCTGCCTGTGCTGCCTGTGGTGTCTTCTCGAACACATTCCTGCGTGTGGCCAGAGTGCGTCCTACCCCGCCGCTGCCATTTGGGATTACTGGAAGGGAGTCAACGTGTACAGGGGGTTCGGGATCAACTGTTTCTATGATTTTGCTTGGGTGGTTAGTCGGGCTTGGGCTTGGACTTGGACTTGGAACAGTTAATGGACTTTTTTGCTTGGTGGTGCTGCTGTGCTGCCTTTGACTGTGACTGTGGCTGTGGCTGTGCTGGTGCTGTTGGTGGTGCTCTGTGGTGGCAGTCTTAACTACGCTGGCGCTGGTGCGTCTACTGGGTGACCGAGACGGAGAAGTTGAAGGCGAGGGCGAGGGCGAGGCAGAAGGCGAACGCGATTGAGGCTTGCGGCTGTTGGGTTTCTGGTGAGTTGGTGGTGGTGGTCCCACCACCTCCACCTCCACATCCATATCAACATCGCTGATCACCCACTGCTGCTGGCTGACATGCTCCATGTTTCGTTCAATGTTTCGCTTGGTGCCGCCGCTTCCAGCTGGTGTGGGTTTCGTTGGGGAACCTCCAGCTGTGCTGGGTTTCGTTGGGAAGCCACCAGTTGGTGTGAGCTTCGATGGGGCGGCAGACGCTGGCGTGGTTCCCTTGGTGGTGCTGTTCGGCTGCTGGGGTGACTTGGGCTTGGTGTTCGTGGTGCTGCCCGTTGTGGTCTGATTCCTGTAGGATCGACGCTCTTCGGTGATCAGGCTGGTGCTGGTGCTGCTGGGAGTACTTCTCGGTTTGGTGCCATTCAGTTTGGTCGTCGTCGTCGTCGTTGTGGATGGCTTGCGGGGTGCCGGTGCCTCTGTGGCCCGTGGCTGTCCAAACACCGATGGCCGGCTGAGGATGTCCTTTTGCCGCTTCAGTTCAATGGCCGTGGTGTGGCTCTTGGTCATGGGCAGTGGCTCCTCTTCCTCCTCTTCCGACTCCTCCTGGGGCTGCTTGGGCTCTTGGGCTGCTTCATCCTCTCGATCCGATGGCAGCTCCGGTTCCGACTCCTGCTCTAAGTCCGTCTCCTGCCGCGAGATGTGCCGCTCGATGCTGGCCACCAGGCGTGGCGACTTCTGTGGCGCCGTCGGGGCCAGCTTCTCGGCGGTGTCAATGAACTTGTGCACCTTCTGGGAGACGCTCAGGGTGCAGTCATCCTGACGCAGCTCCTCGTCGATCTCCTCGAAGCTGGGGCGCTCCAAATCTCTGCTGGGGGTGGGCGTGAGCGGCTGCCTGGTGATGTTCTCGGCTGTGCGCAGGAACTTGTCCACCTTCTGGTTGATGCTCAGCAGGCACTCGTCGTTCTCGGGTATCTTGGCATTCGCATCGAACTCCCGGCTGAAGGGGACGGAGCTGCGTGGCTGCTTCACCTGTTCGGCGGAGTGGGTGAACCGGGAGACCTTCTCGTGAACGCTGAGCAGGCACTCGTCGGAGTCCTGCGGCTGCAGGGGCTGCACGGGATGGGACTGGTCGGTGCTGGTACTCGTTGTGGGATAGTCCAGGCTCTGGGGCGCCTCCACCATGGGATTGTCGAGTATGTCGTCGTCCAGGCCATTGGAGCTGCGTAGTTCCGATATCTGACAGCCCACATAGGCATTGGCCGCTTCCTCGAAGATGGGGATGTTGGTCACCTGCGGCTTCTTGCGCGGCTCATCGTCCGGCTCCTGGACCACATCGGGATAGCGCGGCTTGCCCGTGTCCAGCGCGGCGGCATTCACCGGCGTGGGTACGATGCGATCCGGCGAGGGCTCTCGGGAGCTCTTTGCCTGCTGGATGTCGATGATCATATCCTCGCTGTTGGTCACCAGCTGTTCGCTCAGATTGATGGTCTTGGTGGTGAAGCACTTGCTGGGTCGGCCACCCCGTTCCACGGGCCGTAGGCTGCTCATCTCGGGCTGATGCTGATGCTGCTGCTTGGGCTGCTGCTTGGGCTGCTGCGTGGGTGGGTTCTTCTGCCCGTTGACCACCTTAATGATGTTCTCGCTGGTGGAGCGCATCACCTTGTCGGCCTTGTCCCGTCGCGTCACCCTCGGCACGGGTGCCGATTCCTTGCGCTCGGTCACTGGCAACTTCCGTGCGGCGGCAGGACTCAAGGCGGCTATCAACTGGGGTCTACGCTGGCTCCGCGGCGACTTGGGGGCCGTGTGATCGATGATGATCTCCGTGTGCACCGAAATGTTGCTCGACCGACGACGCTCTGTGGTGGGTCCACCCCGCGATGGACTCACATCTGGGGAGGTGGTTGTATCCCCATCCACATTATCTGCTTTGCTTGGTGTCTGGTTCTGGGGTTGGGCTTGGGCTTGGGCTTGAGGCTTCTGCTTACGCGGCGAAGAGCGCAAGCGATCCTTGATGGAAGGAGAGGTCCTGCCATCGCTAGGCTTTCGTCCCGTTTTCGTTTTGGTGGTAGTGTTCGTGGTGGTGGTGGTGGTGCGTGTCTCCTCCACCACACTATCCCGCTTGGGGGCAGGGGCAGGGGCAGGGGCAGGGACGGTGGGTTCTGGCTTTCGACCCGTCAGAGACTCCTTTCTGGGACTCTTTGGGGCGATTTGGGCCTTTGGGATCGGAGTTGCCTGTTTGGCAGGGCTTGTGCGTGAATTGCGACGTTCGGTTTCGGTTTCGGTTTGGGCTTCGGTTTTCCTGCTCGTCGTCACACTTGGACGTTTCTTGGGCAGTTCCTCCTGGGCTTCCTCTTTCTTGGGGGCAGATTTCTTGGTTGTGGGGCCTTCCGGTTGTGATTTCTTCTTGGTCTTGCCCTGACAATCGATGACCTTCTCGGTGATGAAGCTCGTCGGCTCTAGCTCCGGCTCGGGCTCGAAAATGGGCTTGGAAGCTGGCAAAGGTGACGGCGACTTGGTGGAAGATTTCCGTGGCGTCTGGGGCAAAGGCGATGGAGATTTCGAGGGCTGCCTGGTGATGAAAATCGTCGTCTTCTCATTCACATTGATGGTCTCGGCATCCTCTTTGGGATTCCTGGGCAGATCCTCCTCCTCCTGCGGCACATCCACAAAGAGCTCACTGAAGTCTGGCTGCGGTTGCTCGACCTTGATTTTTGGCTGGGTGCGCACCACAAAGGTCTCGGTTACACGACGCGACGGCTGATCATCATCTTCATCGTCATCGTCATCAAGGCAGTCTTCGATCCTTACCTCAATGGTCTCTTTCCTCTGTTTTGCGGTGCTTTGCCGAACCTCCTGCTCATCCCCCTCCTCTGCATCCTGATTCTGATTCTGATCTTCATCATCATCTGCATCATCATCATCATCATCATCATCATCATTGGGTCGCGTTATGTAGCTTCCCTGGGTATCGCCATCCTCCTCCATGCCCAGGATCTTGCGACAACGATCCTCAAAAGTCTCGCGGCGACTCAAACCCTTTTTGCGATAAGTGGGTGCCCCCTCCTGCACTGGCTCTGTCTCGGAGTCCGCTCCTTTGGAGAATAACCCACCATCGGGACTTTCAATGGCTTCATCGGTTTGGGTTTGGGTTTGGGTTTGCGGTTGGGGTTTGGTTTGGGGTTCCTGTTGCGGTTGGGGTTCCTTTTCGTTTTGGGGCTGGCCCTGGCGTTCGTTCGATAGAAATTCATCGTTCAGATTCTTCTTCGTTGTTCGTGTCTGATGTGCGGTTTTGGTGGTGCTGCGGAAGAGTTCCTCCTCTCTTTGCTGCTGGACTGACGGTTCAATTGGTCCAGACCTGGGGCTCTCCTTTTCGGGGCTCTGTCCTGGTGATCCTCTGGAGAAGCCGGGTTCTTTCTCTGGACTCTGAGCCGGCTCTAAGGGAGTCTGGGCCTTGGGCAGGTTCGTCCTATCGGCTGCTGCTTTCTGGGGGCTGCTCTCTTCGGGCAGCTGGTATGATCTTTTGGGCAAACCAGGCGCAGGCGCTTTCTCTGGACTCTGAGCCCTTTCCGGCTCCGATTTCTCAGGGCTTTTGGGACGCCCCACGAGCGGGGCCGTCTTGAGGGGAGATCTGCCGGGCAGCTGCCTCTCGGGACTGGCCTGTCGTGGCGCTGCCGTATGTTTCTGGGGGCTCTCCTTGGCCGGCAGCTGCTTCTCGGCGCTTGGACGACGAGCTCCTGGCAGAGATTGTGGCTGTTTTTCGGGGCTCTGAGCCCTGGATCGGGTAACTCCCGGCTCGGGGCTGCCCTGCTTGGACTTGGGCCTGGGCCGTGACTGAAACGAAGTCTCATCGATGAGGATCTGCTCCTCAATGAGCAGGACATCCTCCTCGGGCTGGGAGACGCGCCTGCCCTCGAACGTGGTTTCCCTGAAGACGGGGCGACGTTCGACGCTCGGAGACTTGGAACTGCCCCTGGAACTGACAGGGGGAAGCCCCTTGGATTTGGATTTGGGTTCGTGTTCCTGATCGGGTTCGCTCAGATCCTCGTCGTTGTAGTTGTGAGTCGGCTGGCTGCGCATCTTGGGTGCCTTCTGCTTGGTGGCTGCGGGGAGTAGACATCAACGGGAGCAGGTCATCAGCGGTTTACGAGGGTGGATGGGTCGGGGCCATAGATCGTAGCAATACTACTACTGTGGTGCTTGCGTTGGGTTTTTCGTGTATTTGTTGTAGCTCTTTCCCAGTTAATGGATTAGTTACGACTACGGGTTGCGTTTTGCGTTTTGCGGTTTGGTGGCTGCTGCTACGGGTTAGGATGCACTCTACGGGCACTACGGGGGGTTAGGCGGCAGGCAAAAAACAGGCAAAGATTCTTGTATAGACAAAGACAGGCAAAGACCCTTTTCGGCCCATTAGTGGAAGAAGAGTTAGAGAAGAGAAGAGAGTTTTGCACTACAGTCGGTTTCTGGTTGGTTGTTGTTAATCGTCCTTCAGCAGAGACGCCGCTCTTAATGGCTTGCTTGTGTGTGTGTGTGTGTGTGTGTGTGTGTGTGTGTGTGTGTGTGTGTGTGTGTGTGTGGTGTGTGTGTGTGGTGCACGTGGGGGTGGTGATTGTGGGTCAAGACATTGAACATTTCAAACATTTGCATTTGTTTTTTCGGTATTATATTTATTTGCAAAAACAGTTTCGAAAGAAAACAAAAGGAAAATAAAGAGCATAGAGCATAGATACAGGGGCCTGTTGTTGTTGTTGTTGTTCAATATCTTTAACGCTTTTTATTCGGGAGATGCCTTACCAACGCTCTCTGAGGGACGGGCCACTGATTCCCCCTCGTTGAGGGTCTCGGGTCCCAGCTGATAGTATTGACGCTTCACACAGGGCGGCTCTGCCACCGCCACCACCCCAGCTACGGTCTCATGCGCTTCGTTGGCGCTCACCTTTACCTTTCGGATGGGCTCTTGCTCTTGCTCTTGGCTGTCGTGGCTTAAGGTGGCTCCTGCTTGAGTGGTGGTGGCTGTAGAGGTGGTTGCTGTAGTGCTGCCTGTGCCTGTGCCTGGAGCTGTGGCTGTGGCTGTGCTGTTGTCTTTGTTGTTGGTGGTTAGTGGTGTAGTTGTTGTTGTTGTTGTTGTTGGTTCGTTGTTGTTAATAGTAGGAGGAGTAGTTGGAGTTGGAGTTGGAGTTGATGGCAGAGAGAATATGTCGCCAGGCTTAGTGGTAGTATACGTATACTGTGATAGCTTGTTATCTGAAGGATAGTACATTCATATACATAGTTTTCCGATATTCATATATATATATATTATATAGGTATAGATTCATCTTGATTACTTTTTATATATTTTTTTTATATTTTTTTTTCTTGAGATTTTTATTTGATTTTATTTTTTTGTGTGTTTATTTCGTACCTGGAACTGGAGTGGGACTGGCTGGAGCTGCTGCTGTTGTCGGAGAGGAGGGACCACTGCCACCACCAACTGTCCTGGTGGTGCTGGTTGTCGTGGTCGTTACAGTGGTCGTTGCCGCCTTTGGAGTCGGCGACTTGGGTTCGGTGCTGATCGTCTTGGTCGTCACCTGCTGGTGTGTGTGCTGCTTTACCGCCTGGCGGTTTACCCACACTCCTGGGGGTGGTTGGTGCTGATCCACCCGCTGCCTGCCTGGTCACCGTTGTGGTGCTGATGCGACTCGACTCCGAGGGCGCCTGGCTGTCGTGCGAGCCCTCGCGTCCCTCCCGGCGGTAGGTGCGGCTCGAGGAGATGCTCGACCGTGGCGTCTGATGGTGGTGCGAGCCCACCGAAGTGGTGCTGTCCGCCGGCGAACTGCTGCGCAGCGAGGCCGCAAAGGCCCGATGGGCGGCGTCCACCTCGCGCTCCTTCTGCACCTGGCGACGCGTCACGGTCGTCGTTGTGGTCGAGGTGTCCGAGCTGTTCGGAGTGCTTCCAGTTCCGGGCCTAGTGCCAGGACGTGCGCCCGCGGCGGGGCGAGGCGAGGGACGTGTGGGAGATCGGGACGCGGGGAAGCCCTGGCCGCTCGTCGGGGCACGGCGTGGACTGGCCGGCTGGCCACCAGATTGGGGCGAGTGCGAGTGGGTGGTAATGGAGTGGGTGTGCGTTTGGCTGTGGGGGGCCCTTGGATAGTCCTGATCCACCTGCGTCTCGATAATGCGCTCCGTCTCCGTCTGCGACTTGTGGCTGGCACTCTGGTTGCGGCTCACCGACTTGGACGTGACAATCACCTCGCCATCCGGCTGATCCGGTCGTGAGCGCACCGAGGGGAAGCCATGGGTGCTGTAGTCGTCCACAGGTTGGCGCCTGGGACTCGCCGGCTGCTCCCAGCTGGGAGTAGGGGCTGCAATCTGGGGCTGGGTCTGGGATTGGGACTGGGGCTGGTGCTGATTCTGGGGACGATAATGGGGCTGATGCTGATCCTCGCCCACAATCTCCGTTTCGATGGTGCGCTGGGAGCTGGAGCTCTGCTTGACATTGCGACTCTTCTCCGACTTGACCACCACCACCTCCTCCTCCGTCTCGTTGGTGGGCCTCTGGCTGGAGAACTCCTGCGTGGGCTTGTTGGGCCGCACCGATGGGAAGCCGTGAGTGGAGAAGTCACGGCCTGGCGAAGCCTGCTGGCGCGGAGACTGCGCAGAGGGACGGACTGCGGGAGAGGCGGTGATGGGTTTTCCGCGATCGTCAAACTCCTCGACCGTCTCCGAGGTGGTCTCCGTGGAGAAGCGGCGACTCGATTTCTTCACCGAGGAGAAGCTCTGCGACTGGGTCACCTGCTCCAGTTCCCCCGGTTGCTGTTGTGGCCCAGGACGACGTCCCAGTGGCTCAGCATTGTCCACCACATCCCGAGGCTGGCTCTGGCTCTGGTTCTGTGTCTGGTTTTGATTCTGATTACGGATATGGCTGTCATGCACATCCTGGGTACGTCGCTGGCTCTGGGTCTGAGTCTGAGTCTGGCTCTGGGTCTGGGTCTGTGGATTCACCTGCTCGGTCTCGTAGCGCTTGTTCTTGACAATGGTGCCATCGGGCAGGCGCTTCACCGTGGTGATCATCTTCACATTGGGCTTGGGATACTCCACCGTGTTGGAGATGATCTCGCCGGGCTGCGACATCAAGTGCTGGACTTGGCGCTGGTACTCGGGCGAGGCCTTGTCCATGTCCACGTACCGCTTGTTCTCCTCGTAGTGCTGCTGGGTCTGCACGTTCCGGGTGCTGTTGCTCTGCTCGCGACTCTCCGAGAAGCGCTCCTCCTGCTGGCGCTGCTGCTGCTGCTGCAGTTGCTCCTGGAGGATGCGTTGCTCCAGGTTGCGCTGCTCTTGGACGCGCTTCTCCTGGATGCGACATTGCTCTTCCCACTCCCGCTGCTGCTGCTGTTGCTGCTGCTGCTGTTGCTGTTGCTGCTGCTGGTACACCTTTTCCTGGTCATCCATGAGGTAGCGCGCTGGCTGGGCGGGCTCATCACCGTACTCCAACTTCGAGGAGGAGGACACCACCTTCTTGGTGGACGAGGACGAGGTGGAGGTGGAGCTCACCTTCATCTCGGTGCGTCCGCTGTTCTCGTCGCCGAACACCACCTTCTCCTGCAGCTGGGTGTTGGTGCTCTCCGAGGCCTTCTTCACGTAGTTCTGGTCATCCCCCTGGTGCGAGGCACTCGACCGCTGTTCGTTCCTTCCCTTGAACTCGGCCAGGCCGCCACCATTGAGCTTCTCAATGCCTGGAGCACAGCATACAGACGGGACATGGCAGGACAAAGACATACAAACAGAGAAAGAGAGAGAGAGAGAGGGGGAGAGAGAGAGAGATGGAACAGAGTTAGACACACACATAAATACCGACAAGGGACTGTGACTGGGACTGGGTTAGGTTTAAACTTTGAAGTTCAGACAGAGAGAACAGAGAACAGAACAGGGTGGGAGGTTGGGGTGTTCGGGGGACTTACCATCTGTCTTGGCCAGAGTCTCCGTGCGGAAGGCCCTGCCATCGGGGCTGACCTCCGAGGAGGTCTGCACATCCCATCCCGTGCTGCTCGGCTGCGTGAGGGTCATCGAATGGAACTTGAGCTCGTGGGTGGGACTCATCGAGTCGCGCACCTCCTTGGACTTGAGGCTCTGGAAGTTCTGGTCCAGCAGCGCGTCCCCGTGGCTCGTGGCCAGGGGATCCTTGGCCCCGAATCCAGTCAACGAGGACGTGCCATTACCATTATCATTTCCCTGTGGCTCCGCCATTGGGTCCGCTTCGTGCCTGTACAGATTGCAGAGACGCGACTCTCGCAGCTTGTAGAGATGCGATCGGATCTGCTTTTTGCGTTCGCTGTCCTCGGACTGCTGCCACTGCAAAAGGGGGAAACGCATGCAAGAAAAGAGTAAGTAAACCAAACAGATCTCACAATCGATAGTCAGTAGTCAGTCAGTCAGTCAGTCAGCCCCTGTCCTTGAGCCAATTAGACCCCCAGCGCTCAAGTTGGAATCGAGTGGAGTGTACAGATGATGTGAAGTGGAATCGCATCGAGTCGATTGGAGTGGAGTGGAGTGTAGTGCAAAGCCCACGCGTGCTCAAAGTCGCTCGCCATTTCAAGCTGCTAGCTCGCCTTTTATGGCGCTCCCCAGAGACAGTCACAGTGCTCCACCTCCCCCAATCGCCTCCCCTTACCAATTAGCCGGTCAGCCAACACACAGTCCAGCCAGAACTGAGTTGAGTCAGCGAACAGTGCCATATAGCCATATAGACATCGATTCAATACTGTTCCGTTGCGTGTTCGATTCTTAATACATGATAACGAAATTCCGCCCCCTATTTGTTTACGGATTCCATTTCAATTCTTTCACGAGAAGACATGCAATGTCCAAACATGGCGGAATCGATATTCTTTCTTTGGAATTTCTTTGAAAAATAACAACCCTGGCTCGAGTCGAGGCTTCGTCATTTGTTTTGTTTTTGGATTCAAGAAAGTGGCCGTTTTAAAAGATTTTAGATCTTGGAGGGCTAACGATCTTCCATCATCTCGAAGATTTCAAATGAATCTACAAGATACGAGCACTCGTAGATTTCATAAAGGATCATATTATACCCGTATTGTATTATATTTTGGGAATCGAAACCAGAGACTATGTACAAAGAAATATACCAAGAAATACGAGCCGGAACTCACTCAGTCTGCTAAATATTTTGATTATCAGTTTGCGTATCGTATCTGTATGAGTATCGGTGGATCGGTGGACTGTAGCTTGACTTTAGCTTATAAATAAATATAATTCTGAGCAACAAAACACCTCGAACGAACACTGACCGATAAGAAGTTGATCAGTGGATGGTTGGACACAACAAAGATCCCCATACGGACACTTGTATGGATGTATTTATGTGTGTGTACTCATAAATACATCATTACTATTTTTTTAAACAATAATCTAGAAAGGTGGAGGATGATAGGCGGCAGAGAAACAGCAAACAGCAAGCAGCAGGCAGAGATCATCAAATTTTGTTGGCAAACAAATTTACTGAAGTTGAAGCGAGCGATGGTGATATCACCACACACGATTCGTTCGGCGGAAAAACATGTCCAATGACATTAACATTTGTATTAACACAATAATGACACCGTTCTCGATCGTCAGTGCGATGGTGAGGCAGAGGCAGTGGCAGAGTGGCAGAGTGGCAGAGGTGGAGGGAGTGCCTAATTTCAGCCAGAACTTCCTGAGCTCGTTTCAAACTCTCATTATTCAAGTTGGGATGGGTTTCCGAAACATCGTGAAATTTTTAGTATTAAACTAGCAAAATTGCATTATGTATAAAGATTCGGATATGGTAATCATTTTTTCCAGATGGTAGCGTATCTGAGACTGGCATTGATCTATAGGGTATCATCTATGTCAAGTAATTTTCCCACAATACTCGTATTTTTTGTATTTATGGCTATTAGTGAAATCTGCCCAATAGCCGGGACATCATATCCGTACCATTGCAATGATTGATGGCCAATTGGTTTCTTTTTGGTTCAATCATTATCATTTGGCCACAAAAACCGTCAATTTGTATTTATTTTTTTTGTGTTCGCCACACAAAGCCCAAATGGCACAACAGATGGCGCTGGCTGGCTCCGCTTTCACTCATCTCTCTCCGCCAATAGATATGGCATTGACAAAGAGAGAAAGACAAATGCAATTCTGTGTTTATACATACACACGTACATATGTATATGTCTGCTCTTGTGCGTGTGCGTGTCTGCGAAAACTTTGCTGCAAGAACTGGTCGTCGTCAGAGAGCCGCCCAAGGTGTATTTATATTAGGGTGAGATGTAATGTATATTGAAAGCCGCTCCACCTGCCTGTGCGACTACTTAGTCGAGTAGCGTGAGAGCGTTGTCAGTAAATTTCTCACCTTATTCTAAATACACGTTGTAGCCTCAACAGCACTTCACGAATGACGTAATTTCTAAAAGCGCCCATGATAACCAGTTGAAGCCGACGGCGACGATGCCAACAGCAGCACAGCAGCAGCAGCAGCTCTTTCGCACCTCTGCAGTGGCAGCGCACGGCAACCTGTTGGCGTCGACGCCGGCGCTGCCGCTGACTGCAAGCCAAGCCGCCCTCCTCCACTAATGATGAGGAATGGATGGGATGGGATGGATCGCTGTCTCTCCGTCTCTCTCTGCTGCTGCTGCTGCGACAGATGATGATGACGTGACGTGCGAGATTTTGTTGATGTGCGAATGCTGATAAATTATTATTAAGTTTTTGTGTGTTTCTTTTTATTGTTGTTTTTGTTTCATTTCATTTGTGCCGTTGTGCCGTTGTGCCGTTCATTTAAAGGTTTTTTTTAATTTTTAATTTTATTTTTTTTGTATTTTCTGCTGTCGTGTCAGCTTTGGAGGTCAACGCTGCGCGTTGTTTCTTTTCCCCCCATTTTTTGGCAAGAAATCGTTTGCCATTGAAATTAAGATTTAATAAAACTTAATTGAAACAAGGAAGGAAAACAAGCTTGTTTCAGGGGATAGATTTATGTATGTACATACATATGTATGTATGTTGATATAATATAAAACTGCAGTTCGGAGGGCTGGAGAGCGCAGTATTCCAATTGGGTCATTCCATTTTGCAATACAGTGCGTAAAGCACACGATTAACTGTTCTTCCCCCACCTCTCAGGTGCATATCAATGGCGATAAGCCCCAAGAATTTCATATGGTAAGATAGCTGGCTATCAAAACAGGGGCGAACGTGAGCGAGGGAGAGTGGGAGAGATCAACAGGCGATAGTGAGAGAGCAAAACAACGGCACTAAAGCGCCACCTCTTGCTGTTGAAGTCTCTTGTTCCGTGGGCACCGCTTTGACATTGAAAAGTGATCAAGAAAGGAGGGAGAGAGCAGAGCTGAAGATAGAGGGTACACTGAGAAAAATGCATCCACATTTGGTATTCAAATATCAGCACCTAACTTTCTGATGTCAAATGAACCAAGAAGATCCGAAAGAAACGTTTTTTACATGCAATTTCGAACTTGTTTTTTGTACAGTGTAGCCAAGATAACGGGAGAGCGGTGGCGTACCGTAGAAAGTGATAGAAAGAGAGAGAGCGATCGAGAGCGGCGACTGCCATCGGCAATCAGTTCAATTTATGAAATTGTTTTGTACTTCGCACAACCCAACCCCCAATCTCTGACTTGGAGCGTCAGTGGTTATTTTTATACCAATTTCGTTTCAATTTTGATGCCTTTTAATATGCAAGCGACCTAATTGCCCCTGTCCGTCCGTCCGTCCGCCAATTGTGTCAGCAGCAGAGCAGCTTACGCTTACGCTGACGTGTACGCTAACGCCAACGCCAACGTCGACGTCGGCAATGCACAATAATTAAGAGGGGTACCAAAGTCCGATGTTGTTTTAGATTTTGATAAGTGGGACACTATAACACTACTATACTATAAATCATATGAGTCATGGGCTTATGTTTATTTGTTTACACACATTTTGAACTGCCATACCTTCTAATTAATATACCTTGCGCAGGCGGCAGAGTAACAGCACAGTCGAGAGCCAGCGAAACATGTTTATGATTGCGCTGTCGTAGACACGGTATTATTTGTGCTTTTTTTTAAATTTTGTTTTCGATTTTTCGGTTGGGCTGTTAATTGTATTTTGTCTTATTTTGGGTATGACATCGCCCCCAGGTGAATAAAACATGCCCCCAGCCAGCCAGTCTCCCCCAAACATCTGTTCTGTTCTCCGAAAGTGGAGCACTTTCGTGGGTCCCCGCCTGCATACTAAGCACCAACCCGACCTGTTGGGGGCTCTACTGTGCGCCATGGGAAAAATCGTATAACTCCGTTTCTGTATTTGTTTCTATCTCATTTTGATCGATGGACAGCTGTCAAATGCTGCCGTGTGTGCAGGCAGAGGGGCATGGGTTATGGGGTCTTGGGGGTAGGTAGGCATCGCGCACGCATTGAAAATTATAATGCAAACTTGATATATGGTCGATGGATCTGTCGTATAACCAACAATCGTCGTGGCCACTGGCCATATTTGTGTGGAAATTACGCGAAACACCAGAGAGATCTCCCTCAATCTGAGCAGTAGTCGAAATGATCTCATACGAAGCGAATGGGAGAATATCTTTATGCATAACGTAGTCCATACAATAACTTTGATTTATTTATTACTGCACTTGGAGTTCCGTTCCTCAGAGTGATATACGATTCACAGCGATTTGTAATTACTCATACTTCATATCAAATGGATCCGCATATAACTCCATCACTGATGGATCAAATTCGAACTGAATATATCGAATATATAATACATATGTATGTACATTGTACATATAAACTTCAGTTTGTTTTATCAATTATTGGCAGAAGAATAAGAAGAAGTAATTTTCTCGAATAAAGGCTATACGATATAATTAATAGGTTCACGATGAATTCAATGCATTCCAAAAATCCCTACACATATTTTGGATCCATTATTGAATAAAATAAAAGTTTATTCGTTTCTAGTATAATTTGAGAACCCCACAAAAATTGATCCTCCAATTGATATTGAGTGTGAAGGGGAGTGTGAGTGGCCACAGCTGATCTGGCGTGAAGAAGTTTTCACATAACTGATCATTCAATTACTTGAGCAAAGCTTATCTAAAATCAAATTTCCCCACAAAAATGTCCCATTTCACAATCTTTGAGAATAGATTTTTTTCCAGTGGCTGCTGAACTTAACAGATCTTGTATAGATTAAAAATAAAAGCACAAATTTCGCTATGAGATCACCGATCGCCCCACCACAAAACTTAGCAATGCATTGTTATAGTCTTCAGTCTATGGTCTATGACCAATAATAAGGCTAGAACGGTGCTGCTTTGGACAGGAATCCCTTTTGGCTATGATCTGGTTTTGTTACAAGGTGTAGAACGGCAGAGCCAGCAGCACCGCTGACAAGGCCAGCAGCCTACGGCAGTCGAAACGTGTTCCACTGTAATTAGATGCACTCTAGATTAGCATATGGCCGCGGGCAAAGTTTGCCGGGGCCTCTGCCTGTACCTGTGTCTTTCCAGCCCCGCCCCCGCCAGGAACCAGCTGTTCTGTACACTTGTGATCTTCAATCAACTGATGAAAGACCCAAGACGGCACTAATTCCCAGATAAGATCCGTCCGTTTGTTTGTTTACCAGCCAGTTAGGCCAGATACAGATACAGATACAGAAACATTCATACATATGTACATACATGCATATGTATATATGTAGATACAGATACTAAAACCGTTTGCTGACTAACTGTTGTGCAAAGTCAAACAATACGGCGAACAAGAGAGTGAGAGAGAGGGAGCAGGCGGACAGGGGCCAAAATGAGTGTGTGCGAAAGTGTGAAAGTTGCTCAAGGTAGAGTCGCGAGAGCGTAGGACGCCCAATATTGCACGGCAGACTCTTCCCGAAAGTAAAAACTTTATGCACACCCATACATATGTACATATATTGGGCATGTTTGATACCTTATGATTCGATTTATAGCTTGAACTACTGATAAAGAGAAAATAGTTTAAATTGCTCGATATACATATCTACATATGAGCTTATTGTTCTAGCTGTTAAATTTAAACGGTTGTTGTAGTTCATAAATAGGTACAAAACTTTAAAACACTCGAAATCTGTTTACAAAATTTGGTCTCCTTCATTTGTGCCTGTTATATAGGCACACTAAATAACCTTATGCCCTCCGAGTGTAGGGTATGAACATAAATTACCTCAGGCCACGGTTCGGTTTGGTTTGCTTTGGGAAGAGGGCGCTGGGGAAAGAGATAAATGTGTGATCGTCAGTCCACTTTTTCGCTGATCCTCTCTTCGTGTTGTTGTTGTAGTTGTGGTTGAAAACCGGCAAAGCACAGGAGAAATAAATAGGTTTTTTGGTTTGGACGTGACTAATCCTTGTCCCGGCTTGATCTCAGGTTCTGTCGTTTTTTTCCTTTTTCTCTGTTTCTCTCGTGCAATAAAGAGCTAATAATTTTTAGCTTTTTCTATATTTTTTTTATTCGATCGGCCAGGTAAAAAAAATAACAAAACAAAAAAACAATGATCGTGGCTTTTGTATTTGGGTTTTGGATTTTGTGTGTGGGGCAGCTGCTGCTTCACGGAGCGTTCGCACGTTGCATTCGAGGCACCAAAATAATTCAGACTGAAGTTTCCAATCAGAATCAAAGCCGCGTAAAGTGGACGGCGACGGGCCCAAAGCTTAGACGCTGTCGTCATCAGCTGACGCCGGCAGCAGCAGCAGCAGCAGCAAAAGTGGCGAGAGAGAGAGAGATATGACCGAATACGAAATACTTACGAATACGTAGATGACGAGACCGAACCAGCGCGACTCTGTCTGCCGCACAGTGTCTTGGGAGCGTGTAATTTTCTCTTGGAATCCGATCAGGGCTTAGCTTTGGCAGAGCTCTCTCCGTTTCGCCCGTTGGCGGGGAAGTCGGGCCAGGCGAGGACTGTGGCAGCCAAGAGGAGGGTCTGGTCTGCGTCCAGGAAACAAATGATTCAAGCAGATTCCAATCGTTGGTTGGAGCAAACCTTTAACATTCCCAAATATTAACACGAACAACGGGTGAACTTTGGCGACCCGTCATACCCAATTTATATGTTTGAAATTTTTCCGAATGCGATTTGAATTACCGGTCCCGATGTGGTATTACATTAAGTCAGTTTGACATGCAGAACGATCCATAGAAATTGCAATCTTTATTCGCCTGCACCACATCGAATTGAAGTCTATATATTGAGAGCCATAATGCTTCGCCTGCAATTATCGTTGCAGACACAATGAAGTGCCGAATCATATTTATTATATTCCTTGTTGCGGTTGCCTTTTGTAAGCCATTCAACAGAAGTCCCATTTATGATTGTACGTAAGATTGAGTCGATTTTTCAAACAAATTAATATTTGATGTACATATGTACATACCTAATTTAGCTGTTTGCGCGCTGACTGGGGGCCGGCTTAAGTGCTATGTTCATAACACTTGGGGCTTTAATCAAAGGACTAAAGAATGTTATGCAGTGCGCAAGGGTAAAGAGCCGTGCGGTTTCTTTGATGGAAAAAAGGGCTGTGAGGACTTTTGCCATAGACCTCCTGGAACGGGGAGGAAAACTTGATTTTTGTTGCCAAATTTTTCCCAAACAGTTGTTGCTGGAAAATATGAAAGTTTTTCTCAGCTAATCCTTAAACTAGGAAATAAAAATGTTAAATAGACTTGGATTAAAATGAGATACACTGGTTGAAAAACTGAATAAATGTATCTGTTCCAAACATTTAGCTTAATTTTACACTTTTTATGCTTCACTGCCAACCACGCCCACGCTTTACCCCTCTTTCGTTTATATATGTTTACAATAATTGAACGTGCCAATATTGAAAATAAATGTGTTTCTTTATAAATGAACGTGGTTCGGCCTTGATTTTTCGCAACTTTCGAGAAAGAATGTAATGGGGATTCCTTTGCTGTGTCTCTGTCACCATTCCCGTCGCAGCTGTCACCCTATACCGTGTGTGAATCCACAAGTAAATCATTCAATCAGTACCCGCCAAAAGGGTGGGTGTCATTGTTGCAATATAATACAATACAGTTTAGATTTATGCAAACAAATAGAATACACACATATATGTATGTACATACATATGTGTTGGACGAGTTGGAGATTATTTCCAGAGCTCTCGAACGGGTTCCAATATCGTAACTGGTGGGGCGCCCACATTCGAAAAAAGTTCATTTTCGAAAAAGCGACAAAAAATTACTCATCGACGGACTGCACGATAGAGGGGAGGGGGTGGGAGAATAGTGATGGTGGCGCAGACGTTGCGCAGACGTAGACGTAGACGTCGTGACTAGACGATGCTGAGAGAGATAGAGAGAGAGAGGGGTGTCTACTGTACAGTGGCCACCACTTGCTGCATTTGGCCATTTGCCATACGCGGGTGTCTCTGTGCCAATTCGATTCTGGCTTATTGATTTATATAGCGTCGACGGCGTCGGCGGCGGCAGCAGCAGCGACAAACAGCCCACGCCGGGGCTTAATCGAGTCGAATCGAATCGAGTCTTGGGCCTCAATGCCAGACTTGAATCGTGAAACAGCCAACGCTCTCTACTCTGCTCTGCTCTGTTCTGTTCTGACGGCTACCAGGGATGCAAACTCTTTGAAATTTAAAACAGAAGCGTCGGAAGGGGGGATACTCTGACTGCCTGCAGCAGCAGAGCTCAGTTATCTCTTTCACGCATACAAACTCAGAAACGAAGTGAGAAAACCTCTCCCAGCAATAGCTGCCATCCCTTTCAAGACAGGCTTTGCATGACATCATCGCCAGGAGCAGAGCAGATGAGTGAACTACAGCCCAGAGAGGAGTAGGAAGAAGAGAGCGAGTACAGAAGAGAGCTAAACGTCTTAGAGAGGATCAGAAGAGATCATCGCTGGCTGACGGAAGAAGGAAGCACAGACAAGGGGGAGAGCGTGACCGTTCTCACTGTTCTACCTGCTCTAAGGTGAGAGAGGAGGAGCAGGTAGGCTGGAGCGACGAACGCAGAAGAGCACAGAAGAGAGCGAGGGCAACTTGATTCTGGCAGGCCAGAGGCCAAAACGCTGAAATTGATTCATGGCCAATGACTCATCCGAGGCTTTATCACCCAGCAGCAGCAATGCCACTGCGTGGGCTGCGGATCGTCTGTTGCGTCTGCTATACCCTCGCCGAGGGTATTAAGATTTTGACCAGATGTTTGCCGCACCACAGATAAAAGCTAAACGGATGCATAAACTATATGCATATTTAATGAGGAATAATGTCTTCCAAGATCGGACTACTACATACATATATGATTTACTATAGGAAACGATCCGTTATTTGGGGGAAAAAATGGGTATTTTCTCAAGATATTATTTAAAGTTGACAGTTGCAGTTTCCTATCTAATCGCATCTTATCTTAACATTTAAAAAAAAACTCGAACAATTAGTTAAAAACAATTCTAAGTAAAAACTTTCTTGTCTCATTCGCATCTGATGCCACAGGTGCCACAGCCAAAGATGATGAAAATTTGTTTTCTATATCAGAGCTACCATGGACCGATGCATCTATATACAAGGGTATTAAAAGCTTCGATTGGTAGATATGTCCTGTTCTTTTTTGATGCAGATGCCAGCTCTTTGGATACATACATAGATCATTATTTGGTCAGGTCTCTCCTATGCGTCGTCATCGCTTTTCCATTGATTTTTCTAACGACTTTTTAACGATTATTGCCAGCGTCTGAGCCAAGTGAAGAGACGAGCGGCGGCCCACGCGGCACGACACGACGATACGCGACAACAACAACCAACGAGAACAGCAAGAGGCAACCCCATAAATGACCCAATTTGGTCAGGTTGCACAGGGTTGGGTTGATGGACTGAGCGAGTGACTGGATTGAGTCGATGTGGCGGCTATGTCCCATCTCTGGCTATGGTCTGTTCTGGAAAGTGTCGTCTGTGTCTGGTCTTTAAAGGCAATGACAACAGCATTAGGGACGGGTCCAGGTCCAGCTTCAGCTCCAGAAAAGAGGCAATGAACCTGGCCAAAGAGGTGGGCGATGGCGGGAACAGAGGAACAAAGACAAAGAAAGCAGAGATAGAGGTGGATAAGTCTCCAGAAGGGGCGGATAAATATCTCGAAGGAAATATCCTTAAGTTTGACACAAGCTTCGTGGGGAAATGAAGGAATTTCATTGAAAGAAATCGAGTGAAATGATTTCCTTAAACTCTTGTTATAAATAAAGATTCTGTGCTAGAACTTACCATTTTCCTCAGCAATTCCTCATTTTGTATGGCACCCAAATCGCATTCCAACTCCATCTCAAAGATAGCTAAAAACGAATGGAAAAAAAGTGATACGTTTGCATTTTAATCTCTAAAATAGTTTTGTCTGGGATATATAGAATTATGGAAAGGAACGGAAAGATAATTGTATCTGAATTCAGTTGAAAGCTACAAATATTTTAAAGATGGATCCATAAATTTTCTGAACTTAAATGGAACAATGTACGGCAATGGCAGATCGTTAAAGATTATCTATGGAAAGAAAACTTTATATATTTTCCTGGCTGATGATGCAATTATTTCGATGCACATTTCTCACTTTGATTTATTTTGACTTGATGATTTTTTTAGCTGTTGTTGATTTGGTCGGTTCGCTGAGTAATATTATTTGCGATCTATCATGATGAACGAGGCAAGCCAGAAGCAGAGTGTCCCCACACCCCAACAGGTTGTGACATTTCCCCCGTAAATGGCCAAGAACGAACATGGCCAGCAGCACAAGCAGCGGCAGGAGCAGCAGCAGCAGCAGCAACTGCATATGAATACGAGTACTCGTAAAAACAAACGGCAGAGCCATGAGCAGTGCTGTTGTTGCTGCTCATTGAATTGCCAGCTTGATTAGCACAGGCGTCGTTGCAATTTTGGTTAGAGAGGAGCTGTCCGGTGGGGGAGGGCGGTGCGGTGTGCGGTGGGGGCCAAAAGCCAAACAAGTTCAAAAAACCACAATTGGGCAAGCCACTCCATCAGCCTGATGAGGTTGAGGTGCCCCTCGGTGCCAAAACACAATTGAACTTGAAACAGAATCGAATTGATTGAGTGATAGAGATGCTTTGGGGTGTCTGAACAAGTTAGGAACTCTAATCTAAGCTAATATATATTTAAGGGAAACACAACAGCTCGTTAGGTGGAGATACAGGATTGCCCATTGATGTGTGGATTGGTGTATTGAAGATCCATATATTCATTGATTTATTGATCAACATATGTATTCATTCAGTTACCGAATTTGCCTATCTCTTAATGATATACATCCACACTTAAAAGGTTCCACTATTAGTTGTTCTAACTTTAATCTAGGCAATCTAAGCAGCTCTATCCAGATCGAAGATCTACTGTGCCATATGCCATCTGTAGTAGATGTCCTCCTATAAGAGGCATACAAAGGGTCATTTAACTTACCGACACTTATCGCTAGACGCGATTGAAATGGGCACTGAAATGGGCTTTGAATTTGCATTTATGCTTTTTACGATTATTGTCATAAATCTTGTCTGACCAAATCCGTGTGAATGTTCGATAATAAAACGGTTTGTAATTGCCGCACAGCTAAATGCAAGATTTGTTTTTCGATATTTGGCCATTTATAAATTTATGGGATTCTGTTGTGATCTGTTTTGAATCTTGGGGCATTGGCCACACGCCCTCCCACACTGCATGGCTGGTCGTTTTTTGTGTAACGTATGGTTTTGTCTGGCGTATTTCTCTTTATTGGTTTTCCGATTTGATAGATGACCCATAAACCCGCTAAATGGATGTTCGACTTGACATCTGAATAGGCTTTGATTTCGTGCCCCCGATCGCCATTTAAATTGTAATCGCAAATATACGAAAGAAAAGGCTTTTGTTGGGTTTGGGTTGACTAGGGAGTAGTCAGGGATATGAATATCAAACATGAAAAAGATACGTAAAGGTACATATAATATATATCTATTATCTATTATATCTATTACTATGCTACTATTCCAATCATTTATTTATTTTGTCAGAGTTTTCAATTGAAATTTAAACTCTGTCATGAAAAATATGCAGCTAATATTGAGATTTAAAGTTAGAAAAAGAAACAAAAACAAAATCATATTAAGTTCTACACCTGTGTAAGGGTATTGCATAGTCGGGGAATATCGATTGGACAATTTGTTTGTTTGTATGGTTTCGTGCCGCATGCCGATAGATGGCGCCAGACCATCAGGAAAACCGCAAAAAATTACCGCAAAACTGTTAGAAAATTCCCTTCCAACATTGTATCTCTCATTGTGGCACTCACCTGCTGCTCTGCTGCTGCTTATCAGAGACGTCGACGTTCGAGGTGGCGGATTTCGTAACTCGAGATGGAAACGCGGAGCGAGATGGCGACAAAAGACGCGTGGAAAACAACAATTAAAAGTGTATTTTTTTTCTCTATCTGTTTATTTGCTTGTGTGGATATGCGATTCGTTCGGCAAATATTTAAACTGTGAATAGTTTAATTTACGGAAAGATCAGGTTGCCTGCTTGCTGTGTCGTCTGTGTCTCTGGTCTCCTCTCCTTCGGACAGCCGTGCGGCTTTGTCAGCGACTTGTGCGCGGTTTTTATCGCATGCAAAGTGCTTGCTTTCCTCTCTCTCTCTCTCTCTCGGTCACTGGGTCTGTCTGTCTGTTTGATTGACGATTGATTGATTGCGGTTTGCTCCGTTGGTTGTTTATTTTAGTAGGGCTGATTAATTAGAGTTCAAGTAATAAAAACATCAAAAAAGAATCACGAAAAATAAAACATAACGAAAACAAAAAAAACACAAAACAGTTTAAATCGATATCGCGGTATCGAAAATGATATCGAAAATCGTTAAGCGAGCAACGTTCCGTGGGCAGGCGCGGGGACTGTGGCTTAGGGCGGGACTGGTGGCGAGATGGAAATGCGTTTTTGAACCGTTTGGCACGAGCGGAGGCTCTTGACTGATTGTGGAAGCGCCAGTTCTGGCTGCATTTAGGCTCGCTCCCGGCAGAGCGTGTCTGGACGCCAGCAGCGCCGTCGACTGGGACTGGAGCTGGGCTCCCCTTCTAGATGCTCCTCTCTCTCTCTCTTTTGGTCTGTCCCCCTCCCCCCAGTCCGGATGTGGTTCGCCTCGCCTGGGCGTCGCTCACGCTGTCAACATTTGCTGCTGCCTCTGCATGTTTTTTTGTTATACCACTGAAAGGGTATTTTAGTTTTGACCAGATGTTCGGAGCCCCAAATTAATTAATTAAGTCGAAAATTAATATTTAAAAGCAAAAAGTACAGGGCATATAGTTGTTTTTTGTCTATGTAAATGTCTGCACCATTTCTTCGAAATTCTATAAACGAGATTAGGGGTTATATATGTATAATTAGTTTTTCAATTTTGAACCACAAGGGTATTAAAACTTCGGCGTTTTGAATGGAGCTTTCCTTGAATTTTTGTGTGTATGAATTCTGATCCTAAGAGATAAGGAACGTGACAAAAGCAGCAGCAGATCTGAGGGATTAGTGAGAGAGTTTTCTGGGTGGGAGAGAATAAGACAGTGGCTGACCGGAGTGGCGAATGCCAAATAATCTAATAGTTCCTGGTTCCATCAGGAGAATTCAGAAAATAAAGTCACATTTTATTTCTACAAATCAAAACATCAGCTGCCTTATGCCTTCCAGAAAGAGATACAAAGATAGAGAGCCTAAACATCCCAAAGCTGCATTAAGATAAGGTACCTCTATTGTGGGAATAATCGTTCTTTGGGCTCACCTGATATTAATAAACTTTGGCTAGTCCCTTCATGTGGCCATGCGGGCTCTCTCCCTCAGGGGTGGTGCACAGGTACGAATCAGATGAATGTCTCGATCGCATGGCCTTATCGCGCGAGTGCTTATCAAAATGGTGCGGACGAGGACGACGCTGTTGCCGAAAACAACGCGCATGCATTTCGAATGCCACAGGGTCAGTGGGACATACTACTGTTTTTGGACAGAACCACCTGACAATGAGCGTCATGATGCTGAGCTGGCGCTGGTGCTGGTGCTGATGTTGCTGCTGCACTTGCTCGGGCGCCATTGTGCGTGTCTGTGCGCATGCGTGTAAATGTTGGTGTGTGCCTGCCTGCGCGTGTGTTGAATGTCAACCAACGTCAGCGATCAGTGTCAATCGCACGAAAATCGAATGAAATTTACTGAAAATTCTAGGAAAACATTGTTGTTTATGCAACTGGCACAAGGAGAGCAGCAGCAGGCTGCAGCACGAGCAGGAGCAGGAGCAAAAACCACGTCTCAGCGTTTTGTTTCAGTTCGGTTCAATTTTTAGCATGGGACAGCCAGAGCCACTTTCTGCCAGCAGTCAAATGTGGCTAATACCGAACTAACGGTCAGTGCAAGCAACAGCTGTGGCTGAAGGGCTTCACCGCTCCGCGCCCTTGACTCTGGTCTGGAAAATGACAGTGAAAGCCAGACCAAAAACCACAATTCAGTATCCACGTTTGGTCACTGTCCTTGCTGCCTGCCCCAGCACCAGCGGCTGTGCCTGTGCCTGGGCTGACGTCAGCACGTAGGCAGCAGCAGTTGAAGAGGCGACTGCAACTGCAACGCCGTCTGCAGCATGTTGCCGCCTTAAAAGGTGAGGACAACTCTGCAACTGCCACCAGAGTTTTTTGCCAACATATCGCACACGAAAGCTCCAACTCCAAGACAGCAAAAAGTTGCATTTGCTTTTTGTCTTTTATTAATTTATTTTAAGTGATTCGCAAAATGAAACCGAAATCGAAAACCGAAAACCGAAAATGGAACCTTGGAAGCCCCGAAAAATGGTCAATCGATTGATTTGAATCTGAAATTATATGGGCAGGAGCTGAGGAGACCACCACGGCAAAGGCTAGAGCTCTGGTGACACAAAGATTTGGGGGAAATAAAATATAATTTAAATATAAAATAAAAAAATGAAATATAGTTTAAATATATGTAGATCAGAAAGTAATGGCGCTTACACACCCGGAAACATGTACTAAAAATGTGTACCATTATATTTAAAAAAAGAAACACCAGGACGAGTATATATGTAAATATATAATATATATTATGTACATACATATGTACCATATATCCACAAAGAATAAATCCGTGAAACAGAAAGAAATCTGCTTGCAGTTATCATTATGTAGACTTTTATCAGGCATGATGTAGATAGCCCTGACTTGAAATTTATTCAGCTATTCCTTCCACGTTTTAGATCTAATTTATGCCTTGGGTGAACCGTTTAAGATGTTATCCTCGGACTACAACTTTCGCAATCATTTCTGTTATACATACGTGTAGAACGTTATCCGGCCACTGTTGGATCTTTCCTCCAAAAACTCCACAGTACGCGTATTTGAACATGAATGAAGTTACTTTATTTGAACTATAAATGTATGTATGGTTTACATATAAGTTTAATGGATTTTGTGTGTCTTGTTTTGTTGTGTGGGAATATTCGAAGTGAATTCTAAGAACTAATCAGTGCTAAATACAACTTAGTCATATCGTATCGGTATATCATATCAAATATGGTGGCTAGGACGAGCTGCCTGCTAGAACACTGTCCGTATGATCTCCTCTCTCTCTATCTCTCTCTAAACGTTCCGTATATATACATATGGTATATACGATGTATGTATGTAAATGTAGGTCGATGTTCGATGATATCAATATGAAAGCAACAAAAATTCATCAAATGTGTGCAAAAAATTCAAATACAAAAAAATATTATTATTAAATGTAATGATAAATGTATAGGTATATATTTAGTACATACCTATATATTTATTGTATGTATATATATAGTGGAATATGCTGATCAGAAATTGTAACTTATGATCTCTATAGTAGGCCTAGGCAGACTCTGAATAATTCAAAATAAAATCACATCAAATTCGCTGAATGGAAGAATGGAATAAATGGCCAAAGACGATAGTCTATCTCTCTCTTTCTCCATGTATCTCACTCGCGCTCTTTTCTCTCTCTCTCTCCCTTTCTCTGAATAAAACTATAGCATTGCATGACCATAGAACAAAATGGAATTGAATGATTAAATGAATGAACGGGGAGACAGAGAGAGAGAGTGAGAGGTAGAGATGATACGTAGGAGGCAAGAGCTATGCTATATCAACAAATATACATATGCACCCCCTCCCCCGGCCGATACGAGAGGGATTCTTTTTAATTTTGGCACAGCTTGGGGCACACCTCTCTCTTATTTGCTTGGGGGAATGGCTTGGCTTGTTTTGGGTCTTGGGATAGGATGGGATGGGTTTGGGTTTGGGGTTCTCTATGCCTAATACTAATAGGTGTCTTGGTTTAAGATTCTCTTTTACAAACTTAACTAATTGTTATACTAAATGCTGGCTAATACATAGCTTATGTACGATTAACTATTAGCGTACTATGAAATACGAATTGGAAGAGCGCGAAAGGAAGTGGTTTTTTAGGTTACAATTGTTGCTGTTGCGGCATTGCTGTTGTTGCTTTTGTTTTTTAGGGTTCGAGCAGCTCGAACGCTTGGCGGTTCATAATCTACAATATATCCTATCGAAAAAAATATATAAGAGTAACGAGGATTGCACACACACTGAGATTATGTAGTAGGAAGTAACTTAAACACGAAATGGAAGAGATTTTGGGATTGTGGGTGCGGGAATGGGCCTCTCATCGGTGGGAGGGTGAGTCGTGGATCGCCTGGATTCTGGATTCTGCTTTCAATCTGTCACACCCAGATGGACCAACTGCTGCATAGTGCGCTGCAGATAGGTGGGATCCGGGAACATATTAAACTGGGTCTTGTGATCGACACTATTCCAGATGACCACATCCTCCCGGCCGGTGGTCACCGATCGTCCAATCGAGAATAGCAGACGCCGATCGAAGGCGATCTTTAGGAAGCGCAACACCTTGCGGCCCAGCGGGCAGTCGGGCAGGTAGCAGATGCGCGGAAAGCCCACGGCAAAGAAGGCACGACCCGGATGTGGATGCTCGGACGTCTGCAAGCCCGAGGCAATGCTGTCAAAGAGAGAGGGAGATGGCTATAGATGGTTACATGAGAATATTTAATTCGATGCTCACTCGTAGACAATCTGTATGGTGTTCTGGCCTTCGTGGCCGGGCAGATTCTTGCTGATTATGCTCCAGGACATGCTGCCGATGGGCTGGTTGCCCACCTTCTCGCCATAGACTATACCACACACGGGACACTCAATAAAGAGGTTCTGCACAAGCGAGAGCAAGAAAGACAGAAAAAGAGCGAGAGAGAGAGAGAAATTAGCTCATCCTTGTCTGATTAATTCCATTTCCTTACCTTGTTCATGTCGTTCTGCTGGTCTATTATCATGCCATTGAGGCACTGCAGGTGCATCAGATGCTGGCAACGACTCAGCGATATGGCCGGATTCTGGGCTGAGTGTACCAGCTCCTCCATGCACATGGGACAGGGCTGGGCATTGGGCCACAGGGGCGGCTCTACCACCTTCACGAATCGCGATATCATGTCGCTGGCCGGATCCACGCCCACAATCGAACCGGCGATTGATTGCTGCTGCTGCTGGAGTTGAAGCTGCAGCTGCTGTTGCTGTTGTTGCTGTTGCTGGTGGGGATGCAGCGGCAGCGGTGGTGGCACTGGAGCCCGTTCGCCCAGCGATGAAGGCGGCAGCGATGGCACAAATACCTCGTCACTGCCCAGGGAGCAGTCGAGCAGATCGTTGACAGATATGGCAAAGTTGCGACTCCTTAGGCTCTCTTTGCTCTCGTGGCTGAGGTAAGTGGAGACAGTGTCCACGCTCGGGCGCCGGCGGTGCGACTTGACGCTGTTGGTGTCCGTGTCGGAAGCCCGCGTCCGTGACCGGGACCTATGCGACCCGAGGCGGCTGCTCCGCTGCGACTGCAGCGATCCCTCCGAACAGCGGCTGTGGTGGCTGTTCATCGACGAGGTCACAATGTTTTTGCCATGCGTGAAGTGAGAACTGGAGATGGTGTGGGCGTGGATGTGGGTGTGGGCGTGGGGATGGCCGTGCGCGTGTGGCATATGGCTGCCGTGGTGAAGCGTGTGGGTGGAGGCCGAGGCCGATGAGGAAGAGGAACTGGCACTGGCTGCCGGCATGCTAGAGTGCTTGGTGCTGCTGCCGAAGATGTTCAGATTATTGAGTATCTGTCGCAGATTGGTCGTGGATATTTCGCTGTGCTTCTTCGGCGGCTTCCTTGGTGCCGTCTGATGATGTTGATGCTGCTGCTGCTGCTGCTGATGATGAAGCTGCATCTGCTGCTGTTGTGCTGCTGCTGCTGCTGGACATGATGATGGTGATGGTGGGTCGCAGGCAGCGGATGCTGCTGCCGATTCATGGGCATTCGATGAAGAGACTTGCTCTCCACCAGCTTGGGCAACGTGGTGTAGTTGCTGGCATTGCTGCTGCTCTTTAGCTGGATGGCCTGCTGTGGCGTGAGCTTGACCAGCGGATAGGGGGCTTGCTGGGTGCGGCGAATGCTGCGCATCGGGCCGCTTGGCTGCCGCAGCTGGGTGAGATTACAGAAGTTGATGGTGTAGGGCAGCCCGATGTTTGTACGGCATAGATCCAGCGTTTGCTCGCCCTAAACAGAAGATAAAATGGGATAATCAGTTGGGCAAGAGACATTCGTTTTCCAGGGGAGACTCACCCGCGCCCAGGCATCCTCGATGATGCACTGAACATGCATATTGTAGGGCCGCCAGTCGCTGTTACTATCCGCACTGCCGCCCGACCACTCCCACTTGGTGCCCTTGCCCGCCGGCGAGCTGGGGGCATAGAACATGCGCCGCACCCCAATCGTGAGCAGGCCCGTTTCCGATTCGGCCTCCGACTCCTGGGTCATGGTGCGAACATTCACGTAGTACTGCTCCAGGCTGGGGTCCGCGTCGCTCAGCATCACCCGGGTGAGCTTCTTGGCGTGCGCACGCTCCAGGTGCTGCGACACCGCCGGCGAGTAGGGCAGCCACTTGCCGCCGCGCGACTCAAACTCCCACACGCACACGGCATGGGTGTGATTGACGGGGGGTGAAGCAGGGCCAGCTCCAGGCCCTGCTGGTCCGCCCGCAGCGCTGGTGGCCATCGCGCACACACTCACACACACACCGCTTGGGGGAAGGATGGGGATGCACTCACACCATAGCTATTAATGGTTCCGCGGATCAATCTCTCTATTCTCTATCTCTCTATTTAATTGCGTGGTAGCTCGGAATTTTTGGCTGACACTGCCACTGCGACTGCGTGCGACTACGAAGATGAGCACAAAATAAACAAAGAAATTAAAAATGGTGGCTTGGTGGCTGGACTGGTGGGTGCATCGTTAGCAAGCGCTGCACTACGTATGCATAATGGTATCCGATTGGGAGCGTAAATCATTCGATATCAGGCGAAAACTTACTTAATGCACACGGATAAACTGAGTAAGCCACTTAATTAATTAAGCATCTAGCGCAAGCGCAAGCGAGAAATTTCTGACCGCGGATGTATGTACGGACTGCAGCTACAGCAAAGCAGCGATGACGGCAGCGCTGCCTTTCTCGCTGCGTTGATATATTTCTCGATTTTGATATTCGGCTTATGATTACTTGCTAGCTGAAGCCTTCAGCACCGATCATATAATTTTCTACGATAGGTGAATTGATTTCCTTAAAGATTAGTTAACTTAATGTAGTCATTTTCGTTTGGTTATTTACAAAATAGGGTTTAATCAAAAAGGTTTCAAGCAAAATTCAGTTTTTACATGGTAACTACACGATACAGCAGTGAAAACAAAATGCACCCATAACTATCGAATGATTTGCCATCGTGTTATATCGCACGACTATATCGACTTAGGCAAAAAAAAACATTGTTTTGTTTTTATAAATCCAATTGATTTATTGCTCAATAACACACGGGCCTATCTGAAATGAGAGTCCAGCTTTGCTGAAATCGTCTGGAAAGCATAATTAACGTTAGGCAAACGATATTTTTAGCAGTGTCTTGAAAAAAAATAATAATTTTCTTATTCTAGGCAACAAGTACATGGCGTCTAATTTTGGTCTTGCCGTAGAGTAATGATGCCATCCGATTTTGGAGTTTTAATTTGTTTCTGCAAATTGGGTAATAATAATACAATAAAATAAAGTCGGAACAGGGATATTTTTTAATTAAAAATATAATTTAAAAGTTCGCGGTGCCTTTATCGTCGTGATGGAAGTTTTGTAAAAATCGCATAGTAAAATATCGATTCGATGTTGACATTGAAATATTGCCTGGAATAGCAACTCTGAGCGAGAAAATAGCAACCCTGCAACGGCGCTGTCAAGCAGGCCATTTCCGCCGCTGCCACCATTCCTTTACCTTTTTGACTAGCAGACGTAAAGCTGGTCTTTTTTTGCGGCCCGCAAAAAATCTGCTGTTTTCGTGAACATCTTTCAATAAAACCGAGTGACAATGGTTGTTAAGAAGGTAAATAACGCGAGCAATTCAATGAACGCATTATTTCGATGCTGAAACCAGTGCTTTGCAATGCAAAACGTTTTGTGTTTGTGTTTTTTTTTGTTTTGTTATTATTGTGTTGTGAATTCGAAAATAATGTATGGTGCCCACTTCTCCCCGAACTTTGCAGCCCAGGCCAAAGAAGAAGCCAGTGACCAAGAAGGTGGCCCCGGCTCCTCTGGCCGTCAAGAAACCAGTGGTCAAGAAGGTTGTCAACCAGCTCTTCGAGAAGCGTCCCAAGAACTTCGGCATCGGTAAGTGGACCTCTCACCCATGTCATATCTCTGCATTCGCACAGCCACTGATGTCGATAAATCTTATTTGCAGGCCAGAATGTTCAGCCCAAGCGCGATCTGTCTCGTTTCGTGCGTTGGCCCAAATACATTCGCGTCCAGCGCCAGAAGGCTGTGCTGCAGAAGCGTCTGAAGGTGCCACCACCAATCCATCAGTTCAGCCAGAGTCTGGACAAGACCACCGCGGTCAAGATATTCAAGCTGCTGGAGAAATACCGCCCAGAGTCTCCCCTGGCCAAGAAGCAGCGCCTCAAGAAAATCGCCGAGGCTAAGGTGAAGGGCAAGGAGGTGGAACCCAAGAAGAAGCCCAGCTATCTGTCAGCCGGTACCAACACTGTTACCAAGCTGATTGAGCAGAAGAAAGCCCAGTTGGTTGTGATCGCTCACGATGTTGATCCCCTCGAGGTGAGTGTATCTGAGCGCCCAGTCCAGTCCCGTGTCTCCCGTCTCTGACCAAATGATGTAGAACTTTGAATTTCTTCAACTGAAAGGCGCCCGCACTCTCTGTGAGAGGCACCGGCCATGTGGAAAATTGACAGCTGATTGTGTTCTGCCTTATGGCCCCTTTTTCGGGCGGTCGGACAGACTGTTTGAAATGGGGGGGCTAAGGCAAGCAAAGACCAAAGACAACCTGCAAACCATACCCTACGAACACGTGCTTTGAGCGATCGAACTAATTTCTGTTTTCGTTGCATTTCAGCTGGTGCTCTTCCTGCCCGCCTTGTGCCGCAAGATGGGTGTGCCCTACTGCATTGTGAAGGGCAAGGCTCGCCTGGGACGTCTCGTCCGCCGCAAGACCTGCACCACTCTGGCCCTGACCAGCGTTGACAACAACGACAAGGCCAACTTCAGCAAGGTCCTGGAGGCCGTCAAGACCAACTTCAATGAGCGCCACGAGGAGATCCGTCGTCACTGGGGCGGAGGCATCCTCGGCTCGAAGAGTCTGGCCCGCATCGCCAAGCTGGAGCGCGCCAAGGCCCGTGAGCTGGCCCAGAAGCAGGGTTAGAGATCACAGCCCAACAGCAGCGTACAAGATCTATGCTATAAGGTGGAGACTTTAAGTACACATCAATGATTTGAACGGGCAATCAACTATATGCCTGTCCACTGAGAAACAATAAACTTTTAAGTGTACAATTTTTTTTGTTTTTTTTTTGTATGTGCGTGCGAGTTAGTGCTTGGACGAGCCAACGCCAACCAACTCGGGTTGGCGTTCAATAAACCATTTATAAGTTCTATCCCATATGTGAGAAATGTTTCTTGCAAGTCGAAAAGGGAAACGAAATGTTTCCGAAACGATGCGAAGCCTAGTCCTGCGAATGGACTGTAAATTGTTGTTTCGGCATCGAAACTAATGTTTCTTGATCGCTGGATGGATTTATGCTCAACATCTACCCACTAGATGAATTGCCGAATCTCGAAATTTGGGCAATGGAATCTTTTTCGATCGAATCTGTTTAGGCTGTTTATGAACAACAAAGGTGATTAGTGTGTAGCGCGCCAGTAAATACAATACACTAGTAGTACTAGTACAATAAGCAATTTGTTGTAATTTCTGTGGAAAAAACATGTTTGTTGGCACACGCACCATACACACACAAGGAGGCGCCTTTCCGGTTTTTCTTTTGTTCGCTTCAGTGATGCCAACTATTCGTCTCAAAAAACGACAAAAAGTATGAGGGATATATATATATATATATATATTTAAAACAGGACAGACAGTTTATAGATCTACTTTTGATAGTGCTTAAGCTCATTAAGGGCATTTAAAGTTATAGAATCAAGCTCGGATAGGTGGAAGTTGGATATTTTTTCAAGCTGAGGCTGGTTTAAAAACGGACAGATCTGACGGGGAAAAAGGCGCAAATGACATCACTGGTTCGCGACAATGCTTTTAACATATGTATAGTATAACATTTCCATTCATAATGTTATGTTAATACAATGTTAACCGTTGTATGTTGTATGAAAACCGTTGGGAATGGCAAACAATTGTTGCGCGGCGTAACGGTCGCTAGAATTCAAATTTAAGCTTGTATTCAATCTAACAATATTTTAATTAGAATTGGAGCGTTTCTCCCCCAACTGCCATCCTATTAATAGCAAATTTTCTCTGCCCATTCCAAATTGTTATTTTTTAGGGTATTTTTTATTTAAGAAACAATTTAAACTAGTGGGGGGAATCATATTTTGGAACGTTCGGTCTTTACAGCCCGCAGCTTTATGCTCTGAATGGCCTCGTGCAGAATGCTGAGCACCATGTCCACGCGCTCCACGGTGGCATTTTCGCCCATGAGGCCAATGCGGAAGACGTGCTCCACAGTGGGCCCCAGGCCGCCGCTGATCTCCACGCTATATCTGTGGGAAGCCATGGGTTCGGTTCGGTTAGTATGGGAAGGGATTATGATACCAGAGGATTATGCTCTACTCACTTGCGCATGGCGTACTCTGCCACCTTCTTCCAGTCTACGCCGAACGGCACCTTAATGGTGTTGACGGTGGGCAGGCGCTCGTCCTCGCGCTGCACAAACATCTCCAGGCCGAGCTCCTCGATGCCCAGCTGCAGGCGACGCGAGCACTCCTGGTGGCGGCGCACCACAGCCTTCAGGCCCACGGCACAGAAGTGCGCGAGAGCCTCGCGCAGTCCGTACAGCAGTGTGGACGAGATAGTGTGATGGTAGATACGCGGCGTGCCGTAGCAGCCCCAGTACTGGCCGATGAGCAGGATGTCGAAATAGTAGACCTTTGGCTTGCTCTTGCGCTGCTTGATGTGGGTGAGGGCTCGCTTGCTGAAGGAGATTGGCGTGAGGCCGGCGGGGCCGCCGAGCGACTTCTGCGAGCCCGTGTACACCACGTCCACCTTCCACTCGTCCATGAGGAACTCGGTGCCGCCCAGCGAGGCCACAGTGTCTACCACAAGGAAGCAGTCGAACTGCCGGCACAGTTCGCCGATCTCCCGGATGTTTTGCTGAATGATTCCCGTCGACGAGTCGCCCTGGGCGACAAAAAAGACGCGCGGCCTGTGTGTCTCGAAGGCGAACTTGATCTCCTCCTGGCTTAACGCACGCCCGAAGCTGGCCTCCACATAGCGCACATCGGCGCCATAGCGTCGGGCCATGTCCGCGGCCCGATGTCCCCAGACGCCGGTGATGCCCAAGAGCACAACGTCTCCGTCCTCGATCAGATTGCAGAGTGACGCCTCCATGCCGGCGTGGCCAGCACCGCTGATGCACATGGTGGCATCGTTCAGTGTCTGGAAGATGTACTTGATGCCCTCCTTAACCTCGTCCATAATCTGTGAAGAAGAAAGACGCCTTGTACTTTGGATGCCAAACGAAGCCACCTACGGAGCCAGAGCTGATATGGCAGCACCCACTGAGGCCTACGAGCTTTCAGCTTGGCATGCAGCCTGATCTTGTGTTAGATGTCGGGCGGACTCTCTGCCTGCACACCCATGCATTCGAGTACGTTGCCTGCTAAAGATGATGCTGACTAGGGTAATCTCTGAACCCGGCCTCCCCGCCCCCCACTCATCCATTGTATCTCAATGGCTCAGACCAGGCCAGCTGATAAGGTAAACTGGAGCAACCATCAAAACAGTGCATGTCATTAATGCGACTGTCTTGATTGGAATCCTTTTTCAAATAGATCTTACGGTATGGGGACGGTACCCACCTGCAGGCATTCCGGATGCATGTGGCCCAGGACAGGATTGCTCATGGCCTCCAGCACTCGATGTGAGCAATTTGAGGGTCCTGGCCCCATCAGTGTCTTGCTGGGCACATAAAGCGGACGCTTGAGGACCAGAGGCGGCGGCACTTCCATTTCTGATTTCTCTGTGTTTCTCTCTTGAATGCTCTGATAATGGGCGGGGTTACGTAACCAGAAGATCTCTCCCTTTCTCTCTCTCTCTCTCGAACGGCTTATCAGTTGCACACACACACACACACACAAAAACAAAACAGGTGCTGGATGAGATTGGATTAGATTTTTGACAGATCTTGAGTGGCTCTGGCTGTAAGACCAAGATCTAACTGAGACGATTCGGCTGCACACTGGCGGCTTTATACATGTGTAGCTCCATCCCGAGTATGGCTGTGCCTTATCGATGAACTGAACGCACTTGAACAAATGGTAAATGATGCGATCTCTCTCCCTTATCTGATGATGGGGAGGGAGTGCTCTGCTCTGCTCTGCTGGGAGAAACTACGTCGTTCGCACGAATTCTCCGTGTGATAGCCTTCGAAAGGTTGGACGGAATGGGACTCATTGTGAAATTCGCCGAGCCTTGAGAGTAGTGGTAAGGGGGCATACAGGTCTCTGCTCTGTTTTCCACCCCACCAGTACTGCCCACCCAATTGATAAGATTCACGCATCATCTTTGACATTAGTCGGAAATGCATTGACCCCCCTGGTCAGTGTCGGCTACACACATTCGTTTGTGGTGAAATTCGTTATTTAGGCACCGCTGGCGGGGGGCACGACTCATTTTCGTTGCCACAAAGCACGATGGAACCCCTATGTATATTGAAAAATCCACTGCCTATATATTCGAATAGTAAACACACAAAAAACTGTCTACAAATATACTAAAAATAATTTTGTTTAACCCGAACACGGCCAAAGGCGCCAAAACAATTGCTGCTAAAACGATTTCCATGACTAGTACAGGATTTGTACCTTTTACAAAATGTAATCAATCACATGTACTAAGACATATGGCTAAAATATTTATTAAAGGCCTATTCAAGAGGTAAGCTCCAGGCTGCAGCTGCCCCGTTTGTACAGGCCTTAAACGATTCTGTTCTAACGAGTCTATTCAACAGGTTAAACACTCAAGTCTATCGATATATCGATGTCGGATGTCGCACTACACTGGGTATGTGTTTGAATATTTCATAATTTAATTTATTTTAATAATATTTAATTAGATCTATTGAGAATATCAATATAAATATATTATTTTCTTAGCGTCCATACTAATAGTAATACTATCGCCATTCCCAAAAATGATCACATACATATTTACTATCAATAAAAAATATACATCGATATATCCATATACATATATTTACCAGCCCTAACACAACGAAATATAAACATTTTAAATATAAACTGAATTCTAACCAACTGGAAACTAATCCTTGCCGTAGTTGATAAGCACAGCGAGGACGCAAGGAGCATGGAGCAGGGTGGTGACAAAATATATGACGACTTCTTCGACAGCCTTCGCAGGTGAGTGAGCATACTTGCTTCCCAAGGAGCAAAGCGGTCATCTGGTTTTATTGTGCCCTGCCCCCTTCAGCAATAATGGCCCACGTAACCTGAGCCAGATTTTCGAGGATGACATCAAGCCACTGGAGAACGAGTCCCGCAACATGCGCTACCAGCCGTCGTCGGTACTGAAGCAGCAGCAGAGACAGCAACAGAAAAATGAAAGCAAAGAAAAGCCCAGTTCCGCTCTCTGCCAGAAGTGGAACGTGGAGCCCGGCATTTGGACCACTGTGATTGCCAAGGTGGCGCACGCGTTCAGTGGCAGCGATGATATGGGGCGCGTGGGCGTGGCTCTTTCCCTGCACGGCGATGGCATCGCCAAGCTGATTCTGTACAAGACAAAGAGCAAGGTGCTAGCCAGCGTAGTGCTAACGGAGCCGAACGCATCTGTGATTGAGCGGGAGTCCTACATACAGTTCTACGCTGATGACCAGCGCTTCTGGAGCCTGCGCTTCTACCAGAACGCGGATGAGCAGGATATCATTCAGGCTTTGCGTAAATATGATCTGCCATGGACCGGTGCCGCTTCCAGTTGCATCTCATCTTCGATCTCGGATCAGGAAAGCAAACCAGAGAAAGATGTCAAAAAGAAGTCGCAGCTGCAGGTGCAGCCTCCCCAGCCACAGCCTCGGTCCCGTCTTGGGCCGAATGTAAACACAACCCATATCCCACCCGTGGAGCGTCCATTGGTAGACGATGTTTTAATGACGCCGGTGCCCCGTGCTATTGGGCTCAGTCACAGTAGCAGTAGCAGCAGCAGCAACTTGTTGCCGGTACGACCGGAGGAGGAGATTCACGACAGCCTAATGGTCGCCAAAAGGGACTCGGGGAACGAGATGGAAAACAAAATGGACACTATACTGCAGGCGATGCATCGCTTGGTAAGCGGCGCAGCCAGCAGCAGTACCCAGCTGATTGAGAAGCATCAGAACGCACATGAAAGCGAGGACGAGCTGATCGAGCTGGAGCAGAAGTTACTCAACCTCAAGCGTGAGAATCGCACTCTGGTGAAGAGCCTGCGGGCCAAAGAGCAGGCTCTGGAAGAGCTTCGCACATCCAGCAGTGTCCTCGGCGAGCAGAACAAAGAGCTGAAACAGCAGAACACGGCTCTGCTGGCGGCCATGGCCAGCAAGGCGTACGATCAGGTCAACAGTTCCTCCTGCACTAGCTGCCTCAATTGCGAGCAATCCGCAAGCCTCATATCAGTGCTTAAGCGTCAGGTGGCGTCGCTACAGAGTGCCATGGAGACAATGGCGGAATCAGACGCGGCTGTTCACAGAAACAGACTCTAGAGAGAGAGAGAGAGAGCAAGAAAGCAATGCTATATTTTTGTATTAAATATGTTTTCCCATGTATTATGCGTGCTTTTAGGATAACGAACGATTCGTGTATCCATCCGTTTTCCCCATCCCCCATCCCCCATCATGCAAATTATATACACATTGTGGTGGATTTGCATTCGTGTTTTTTTGTTGTTTTTGTATTTGCAGCACAATTCATGCAGTTTCTTCTGTTGCTTAAACCTAGGGGCTAGGACAAGTCTAGGGTTCAGTGATTTTTGTTTTTGTTTGGAGCTCGGAATTGGCTTCATCCGGCAGTCTACAAAATTGATAACGTTTTGGTTGGCCTCTGATTCTCGTTCAGGGGTATATCGTTAGTTAGTGTATCTTTAGCGTCGTATAAACAAGGTAGTACTCGTATGTATGTACGTATGTATAAAGGTAGTGATTCTCGTCACTGTGGAAGTGCACGTGTGTCCGTCCGACCCCATCTATCGTCGCCTTTCGTCGGAATCTGTCCGTCTGTTGTCTGCTTCGACAGTTGACAAACTAACTTATGGCCTAATATACATATATCTCGTCGCAGCATCGTCGTTGCTTACATCTAATCGGAAATCAAACTAGATACGGATAGTGCAGCCTTTGGACAGACACAGCGAAAGCAGCACCATAGCTGCTGGCAGGCATGCATCCTGCGTTAGTCAATGCGTTTAGTAGGTGTCGCTGTCGCTGAGGCTGCTCAGGTAGCTGCTTGCAGCTGGGGCGCTCGACCCGCCGACACGGTGACGCTTGCGCTTCACCTTGGTCTTCTTGCGACGCAGCATGGCCATTTCCTCCGCCTTGCGCTTGTACTTGCCCTGGCGCTTCTTCTTGCGTCCGTATTCGTCCGATTCGCTGGTGCTGGACTCCTCGTTATCGCTGGAATCCGATTCAGTGTCGCTGCTGGATGACTCCGATGTGGAGCTATCCGACGATGAGGAAGATGAGGTGCTGGAAGAGCGACGGCGCTTCGTCTTCCTTGTGCTACTGAGACTACTGCTGTGCTTCTTGGCCAGCTCTCTGTTGGCGCCGCCGCTGCCACTGTTCGACTTACTGTTGTTTGTTTTGCCGCCGCCGCCCTCGCTCTTCTCAGAGCTCTTTTTGTGTTTCTTGCTCTTACTCTTCTTCTTCTTCTTGCGCTTCTTGTGTCGCACTGATTTTGTTGGTTTCGTGTCAGTGGCCTCCACAGCCGCCTTTTTGTTCCTCTTCGAGCTGCTGCTGTGCCTCTTATCTTCTTTGCGTGCAGAAGTCGTGGTCGTCGTGATTGTTGTCAGCGGCGGCGGCAGTGCAGCTGACGCCTCGACGCCGCCTTTCAGCTCCTTGGCCCGCAGCTCAGTGAGCGGAGTCAAGTAGTCCAATTCCGAGTCAGAGCTGGTGCTCTCCACATCAAGCAGTATCTCCTTGTTGGGGTCCACCTGGAGAGGGCAAGAGAGCGAGGCGGCTTGTTTATTGTGGGGGGGACAACGTTGCCAAACATGCGGCTTTTTCTTACCTTGAGAAAATTCCGGCATTGGTAAGTCAGGTGACCTGCGTAGCCGCATTTTTTGCAGGCCGCTCGCAAGGTGTCCTTGTTAGCGTTGGCCAGCGGAAAGTTCATCTTGTTTGCTGCTCGACTGCGCGCTACCGACAGTCCTTTTTGCGTATTTTTTCGCCTGTTTTGTTAGCGAACCATTTATTTTGCCCTCAAACTCAAATTGAAGATGACAGACCGTATGTCGATATCAATCAAACGATATCGATTTGCGGTCAGTTGTTGTTGTCAGCGGCGCGGTATATCGCTTTCTGTCTGCCATCTCTGGGTGGGAAATCCACCGTGCACCGGTAAGATATGATTAGAAAGATATTTAAAATTGATGCATTGATGAGCTGTACACGATATAGTGCTCTATTTGAATTATTGAATTATTTCTACTGCCTAAAGCCAATAATGCCACATTGTATTGCATACATATGTGTAGCTGCAACTTTGTGACGTCATCAACATTGTCTCTACATGGCTGCGCCACCTTCAGCGGTCAGCGCCTTGCATTGTGCTGACAAAGACGGTGAAAGTGGGCTTATCGATAGTTGTGCAGACTCTAGTTCTTGTAAAATAAAAATGCTGTAAATTACGGAATTTTTTTTTTCGCACAGAATAACTGTAGTTGCCTCATCACGTAGCACGGCGCGTGGCAAATCGAAGTAACAGCTGTCCCCCCCGGTTGCAGGTTTCAGACCCCACGGACGCTTTCTTTCACCATTTTCGCACGCCCACACAAAGCACGTAAAATAGAATAGAGTTCGTTCGTACCATAGGTCGAGTGGCAAGAATCAGAGCAGCGCAGCAGTCAGCAAGATGCAACAGAATGCGGCCAGCAATCCGTTTTCAATGGCCACATACGTGGACCGGCCGCAGATGGGGCTGGATGTGGAGTTTGGCGCCGATCCGGCCAGCGGGGCAGCTTTCTTCCAGACCGATGGCCGCAAGCACGATGACCTCAAACAGATGCTGGATAGCAACAAAGACGGACTCAAGCTGGAGGCCATGAAGCGTATTATTGGCATGATTGCGCGTGGCCGCGACGCCAGCGACCTCTTTCCGTCCGTCGTCAAGAACGTCGTCTCGAAGAACATCGAGGTGAAGAAGCTCGTCTATGTCTACTTGGTGCGTTATGCCGAGGAGCAGCAGGACCTAGCCCTGCTCTCCATCTCCACATTCCAGCGTGCCCTGAAAGACCCCAATCAGCTGATCAGAGCCTCGGCCCTGCGAGTGCTCTCCTCCATTCGGGTCAGCATGATAGTGCCGATTGTGATGCTGGCCATACGCGACAGCGCCGCCGATCTGAGCCCGTATGTCCGCAAGACCGCGGCCCATGCCATACCCAAACTGTACTCCCTGGATGCCGAACAAAAGGACGAGCTGGTCATGGTGATCGAGAAGCTGCTCTCGGATCGCACCACGCTGGTGGTGGGGTCAGCGGTGATGGCCTTCGACGAGGTAAGTCGCTCACTCCCTCCCTCCAGTTTGTGCATTTGCAGTCTGATGATTTCCCCACCCCCCGTGTGATTTTAGGTCTGTCCGGAACGCGTAGATCTCATACACAAGAACTATCGCAAGCTGTGCAATCTGCTGGTAGATGTGGACGAGTGGGGTCAGGTGATAATCATCAATATGCTGACCCGCTATGCCCGCACACAGTTCGTCGATCCGAATGCCGATGAGGAGCTGCTTGACGGTGCCAGCGACAATGCAACACACAATGAGAGATTCTACGACGAGTCATCCAACAACTCCAACTCGTCCAACAGCGATGACGCCTCCAGCGATGAAGAGAAAAGCAAAGCGCGACCTGCAAACAACAGTAGCAACAACAACGGAGGAACCCAAGCCAGCTCCCCAAGCAGCAGCTACCACATCGATGTGGACCATCGCCTGCTGCTGCGCCAGACCAAGCCACTGCTTCAGTCGCGCAACGCCTCAGTGGTGATGGCCGTTGCACAGCTCTACCACCATGTGGCACCTCGCAACGAGGTGCAGCTGATAGCCAAGGCGCTCATTCGCCTGCTGCGATCCCACAAGGAGGTGCAGAGCGTGGTGCTCAATTGCATCGCCTCGATGTCTACCAAGCGCAAGGCCATATTTGAACCCCATTTAAAGTCGTTCTTTGTGCGCACCAGCGATCCCACGCACCTCAAGCTCCTCAAGCTGGATATACTCACCAACCTGGCGTCGGCCTCCAGCATCTCCCTGATCCTGCGCGAGTTCCAGACCTACATCTCCAGCAGCGATCGCTCCTTTGTGGCGGCCACCATACAGGCCATCGGCCGTTGTGCTGCTAGCATTAAAGAGGTAACCGAGACCTGTCTCAGCGGCCTGGTGCATCTGCTATCCAATCACGATGGTGAGTACACAGACTCCAAACCAGAAAACAGGAAACAGAAACCAGAGCTAATCGCTAATCCTATCCAATCTGTTTGCAGAGCATGTGGTGGCCGAGAGTGTGGTGGTAATCAAGCGACTGCTGCAGACAAAGGCCGCAGAGCACTTTGAGATTATCACACAAATGGCCAAGCTGATTGATTACATCAATGTGCCGGCTGCACGGGCCGCCATCATTTGGCTGATTGGCGAATACAATGAAAAGGTGCCGCTGATTGCACCTGATGTGCTGCGCAAGATGGCCAAGTCGTTTGTGGACGAGCAGGATGTGGTTAAGCTGCAGGTGTTGAATCTGGGCGTGAAGCTCTATCTGACCAATCCCCAGCAGACGTCGCTGCTGTGCCAATACGTCTTTACGCTGGCCCGCTACGACACCAACTACGATGTGCGGGATCGGGCCCGCTTCTTGCGCCAGTTCATCTTCCCGGCCAGCGGGGACAGCAGCGTCCTCACGCAGAGCGCCCGCCAGGTGTTTTTGGCCAGCAAGCCTGCACCCGTGCCGGAGAGCAAGTACCGTGACACCAACAACTTCCAGCTGGGCTCGCTCTCGCACTATCTGAATATGCCGGCCACTGGTTACAAGGAGCTGCCTACGTTTCCTGTCCTGGCACCCGACTCGAGTGTGCGCAACATCCCTGGCTTTGTGCAGGAGAAGCTGCCCAACGAAAGTTCACCTCTTTCGCACTCCAAGTCGGCCTCGGGCGGCAGCTCTCAGGGTGGCAGCAAAGAGCCACGTGAAAAGGGCTTCCTATCCGAGTCGGAGGACAAGTCCTCGGCATATTCCGAGTCCAGTAGCGGCAGCGGCACCAGTGACAGTGCCTCAAACTCTGATGACAGCGAAAGCAGTGACGAAGGACAGCAGGAAAAGCAAAAAGCGAAGCCAAAACTGGTCAACACTGATCCGAAAAAGTCGACTGCCGTGGAGAAGGAGTCGACAATGCTGATCGATGCAGGCAGCAATGAAGTAGATCTCACCACAACCACGACCAGCAACAGCAATCGCAACAAAAACAACATGAATATTAACAATAGCAATGCCGCTGGCGACTCGGGAACCTCGGACAGCGGGGAATCCTCCTCGTACAGCGGCAGCAGCAGCAGGAGCGGCAGCGGCAGTGATACGGCCAGCGAAAATGAACAGGAAGATCCAAAAAAGGAGAAGCAGCAGCAGCAGGAACCATCGAAGGCAATTCCAGAGACTCCAAAAGCTGCCAAGCAGACAAAAAGTAATCTGGACTTGCTCCTCGATCTGGATGACATACCGCCCATCGGTCCCGTGATGACACCCTCGCTGGGTGGCTTCCTGACGCCAGGTAATCCAAATCAAAGCTAAACACAAAATGTTCAACTGGATTCCTAATTGATTCTCCTTCCCCTGCATAGGTACACCCCTGATGGGTGGACAGGCTGCTCCTTTGCAGCCGCAGCATGCACGCAATCGAATCGAGTTGGTCGGACCCTCGCACATCGAGTTCAAGCACAAGGAGCTCCTTAATAAGGTGAGCGGCCACGGCCTGCAGCTGGGCTACCGCTTCACGCGTGCCCCCCACCTCTTCTCCTCGAGCATGTGCTCCATTGAGCTGCAGTTCCACAATCGCGGCGAGAAGGAGATCGTTGGCATTCGGCTGGGCCAGCAGACATTGCCCGCGGGCATGCAGCTAAACGAATTTAATCCCGTGACGATGCTGCAGCCACAGCAAATGGCCAGTGGCATACTGGGTGTGGACTTTAATGACTCCACCCATGCCATCGACCTGGAGCTGCTGTCCAGCGCAGGAAGCTCGCGGGTGCAGCTGAAGCCGCCGGTGGGAGAGCTGGTCAGGGCCGTCCAGATTGGAGAGAGCTGCCATCGCGAGGAGCGTGCCAAGCTGCGGGGCATGAACGAGCATCAGTGCGAGCTACGCGGCATCCAGCGGGAGATGATCGATGTCGCAGCGCTCAAGCAAAAGGTCTTCGAGAGCATCAATGTGGCCCACACGCACAGCTCGCCCACCGCCCAAGTGCACTGCTTTGCGGGGCAGACGCTCAGCTCGAAGAGCCTCGTGCTGCTCACCCTCCACTGGCAGACGGACGAGGCCCTCACGCTGTTGGTTAACTGCGAGAAGATGGTCATCGGCTCCATGGTGCTCAACGAGCTGCGAAACGCGCTCCAGCTTAGCTTTGCCATGTGAGCAGCAGTGTCTAGCACGAGAATGAGCGAGATGGCGATGCATGAGGAACGCGGCGCCGAGAAGGGCAATCGAGATCAAATGATGAAAGCCTCTCACAACGTAAACCTAAGCATTCAGATAGCTATACATATATACACACATACATAAATCATGATGATGATTCTACTGCTTTTATTATTCCTATATACAACAAAGTCGTGCGACAACAGCAAATTCCAGAGGACTAATCCAATTTCTGCCCCCAGATGCCTCCTCCTACTCCTCTTTCCCTAGATAGATATGCTATATGCGAGTGTGTGTACCATTTTGCATGATTGTATGTGTATGTCGCATGTGTCCTGCACTATATATATAAATATTTGTACTATATACACGTGTATATCCATCCGTATATGGGATACACTTTTACTTGGATCGTACTCTCTCTTGTACTTGTACTCGTAACTCGTGTTTGATGTTGTAAATCTGTTGCCTTCGTGCTCTATGCGGCCTTCTTCAAAACGTAGCAAAGACAAACGAATATCGAATCTATACATACATACATATATATATATATACATATATATATTATTCGTCCTATTAAAAACAGCGCAAATACTGAATGAAATGAAATGAAAAACTTAAAGAAATATTAATAATAAATATAAAAAATGTTAACGCATTCATCTGCCTGAGAAACCAAACAAAAATGTGCTAAACAAAAGTCTTCTCCTTGCCATGGTCTTGGGAGTGTGATTATTGTACCACAGGACTTAGTAATTTTGGGAGAACAACAAAAATACCCCCTTATCAGTGAAACTTGACTCGAGCAGCGGCACTCTGCGGCATTCGCTTGTGCGTCTCGAGACGTAGTATGTGCCTTCGAATTTGCATATTTTTTCCATGTAACTCTCTGAGAATTGAAGTATTTGAAATTTAACTTTGATTTTTTTATTCTTTTCTTTTTTGTTTAATAAATCTGTTAGTATAATAATTATTTTAATAGAAATTCTCTAAACATTATCGACATTTAAATTACAGTCAACGATGATCAATGCAATTTAAAAGATGAACTGCTGTTGGCCAAGTTTATTTGCGCTTGCGAGTTTTCTTCTTGCCCGTAGACTGGGGCGTTGATGTGGCCTGGGACACCAGAACATTAGCAAATTGATCCTCGTCTGGCAGTTCTGGCAGTGTCTTGGCTTCCATTTGCTTCTGGAAAGCCTTACTGTGTATCCCCTCAACAAACAGATTTTTTTTCACGGGCTTCTTTGTTATCATGTTGATTTTAGCACCTCCCTTTCCCTTGTTAGGCTCAGGCGCTTTGGAGGAGTCTTCATCATCATCAAATACCAGCTTAGTCATAATTTTCTTAGGAGGCTTTGTGGATGGTCCGGCCATCTCCATAGCGGCCAAAACTGCAGCGCCAGCGGCTGCTTTGTTCGATGTGGTAGCCACAGTAGCGGCGGAGGCGGCTCCTTCGTTAGTTTTTGTCTTCTTTCTAGGCTGCAGTTGGGGTAACGAGAAGATTGTAGGTACATATCTACACGAAATTAGGTGAGAGGATTTTTTCTACTTACTTGATTTGTTTTGCGCTCTGAAGGCTTTGCAGGCTTTTCCTTTGATGGGGGAGATGCCTTTGCGGCCTTCGGCTTTGGTTTAGCTTTGGGTTGCGACTTAGCTTTCGTTTTGCTCTCTTTAGGCTTCGCTCCATTCGTCGGTTTCGGGTTCTCCTCTTCGGCCGCTTTCTTGGCCTTGGCTTCTTCTTTGGCCTTGACTTTTTCCTCCTGTTCCTTGGCTCTTTCTCTGGCCTTCTTCTCCGCTTTGGCCTTATTGGCTTTCATTTTTTCCAATGCTTTTCTTTCATTCTTTGTGGATTGCGAAAGCTTGAATGAAAATTTATTCTGCGTCACCTGACCGCTGGCCACGGCTAGCTTGAGTACCTTGTACAGCAGCTTAAAAAAGCGCTGCTCGTTCTCCATCGGATGGCCATTGCTCTTGAGGTACTTGACAATGGCCCGAACCGATGATCCGTTTCTATTGTTCAGTGCTTCGATTGCATCCATTGCCATCTCGAGTACAGTGTCATTGCGCTTACGCCTTTCTGGCTTTGTTGCTGGGATCTTCGATCCGTCATCGGGCGGCGGAGTGGGATATATAGGCGGAGGTGAAGTCTCCCCTTCGGTTTTGTAACTATCATCCTCCTCCTCCAGGTGCTCTTTCTCTGCCGGAGCTTTTGTCACTCCAACGGCCCCCTCTTCATCGTCGGTCAGATCAGCATCTTCTTCATCGTCGGTTCGCACTGGCTTTTCTTTCTCAGACTCTGAAGCTGACCTCTCGGACTGGGACTTACTTTCTTCGGAATATTCGTTTTCACTTTCTTCGTCCGTACCGTTCATCTTTATGCAAATTTGGTTCAACAATCACAATAATTTAACAGAGCACAAAACAAGACGAACATCGAACAATCAGTAATTAAATGGTGCAGTAATGCCAATCCAATGTCATACGGTACAATCGCAGATAATGCAAGACCAAAAAAGAATACAGACTGACGGGCAAAATGGTTGTCACAAAGTGTGAGCATTTTAACTGTTAATCCTAAGCGGGAGATCATGAAATCAGTTCTGAGTGGGAGAGTAACATTCTGCTTTCGCACTCACTAGTTGCCTGTTCTAAAGAGCGAGCTTTAAGTGCAACTGTTTGTTCTCTGACTCAACAAGTGGAGCTTAGAGTCAGTGATGCCCAAGAGCACTCAGAAAGCTAAAGCTAAGCCCCTCGATCATGAATTTTACATGTCATAGTTTCTGGAAAAAACCTTTTACATATTAACATATAATGTTTACTTATAGAAGCAGTAAAATAAAAGAAAATATGGTATTTGCAGCATTGATAAAATAAAAAATTGGATTTAGTTTTCAAATATTTTGATGTTTATTCACGCTTGTTCTTTGTTGCTTTTTCCACTCATCACCAAAAATAATAGAATATATTGTTATTTAAGAAGTCAGCTGCTGCTGTTCATTCAAACGAAATTCATTGATCCGGCTGGGTCTTCATACGTAGTAGATCATGGGTCATACATATGTAAATACATATATCGTGGGTTAGTAGTACATAAATAACACGTTTCTCAAATCCTACGCTGCTTTCTCTGCCTGTGTCCGTGTGTGTGGGTCCGGGTGTCCGGATAGCCGGATTTCCGTCTGTGGAAGTGTCTGTGCCTGCGTTTAGTGTACTAAGTTGGGGGATTCTGCACAATTAAAAAGCTCAATTTCATGCTTATCATATAAACGATTTTGGTTTTGATCGCTAGGTTAGTTTAGTTTTAGTTTTGGTTTTTGTTTGGATTTGGATTTGCTACTGCACTCAAAAAAACCCATTGATTCAAGTAGTACGAGTAGTTATTAGTAGTTGTAGTTGAGTTTGAAGTGTTACGAGTAGAGGTTAGGCTAGGTAAGGTTCGGTTAGGCTAGGCGTCTTTTGTTTGTTTGTTTGCTTTTGCTTTTGCATCCAAGTTAAGAGTTCAACGAACGGTTTGAAAGTTGAAAGTTCGAAAACGATGAGTGAGTGAGTGAGTGAGTGAATGTGTGAGGCTGATCAATGAGCTAGAAAGCTTCTAGTATGTATTCTAGTGTATGTATTGTTTAATAAGGGGTGCACTAATCTTTCGTTCAGTTTACGTATGATGTGGGAAAATGTGTGTATGTAGATGGGAGCGTTTGCCGGTAAGACAATGAGTAATAGTTTGGTGTGCTATATGAGTAGAGTAGGGATAGTATGGATATATATGCGGGTTATATATATGTATATGATGTTTTTGGGTATGTCGCATGTATTGTATTCCGGGGTTTGTATGTATAATCTCGACCAGGCATTGAGCGTTTTGTATATATAGTGCGGTATTATCCTTCTCTCCTCGTAGAATTATCATATGCCGCAGCCTTCGATTTGCTTCACTTTTATATAAAACTAGTTGATTTTTTATTTTTGTATTTTTTTTGTTTGTGGTTTTTTCTCTCTTTTAAATGTATATGTATGTATATGCCATGTATGTATATATCGATTTATGTGTGTATGTCTAAGGATGATTTTCAATCACTTATTGTTACGTACGGTGTTTGGTATAACATGCTTTTTGCTTGGAATAGCCAAACAAGATGGACAGCAACTTTCGCCCTCTTCTGTTCGTTCCTTCATTTCTACCCGGTTTCGTATTCATCTGCCGTTCTTCCTGTTGCTCTCTTTTGTTCTTTTCTTTCTAATGGTGTGGGGTGGTGGGGGTCTGGTGTTTATTGGCTTCTTTTTTTTTAACGAATAACGAAATTTGTTGCAGCGATTTGCAAGCGAAGTTCTTTGGGTTAGTGTTGGGAGGGCCGGCTCAAAAGGGGAGGGGATGGGGCTTAAACGGACGGATTGGTACCGTTAGTTCGGTTAACCGTTCGATGCCTGCTGCTGGTGCATTACATACATATATCGTTCGATTGTTTTTTTGGTTTTTCATTTCGTTCAGTTATCGCTATGCATAAGTATTCGACTGAGGTGCGGCTGCATTCCCGCTCAGAATCAGAGAATCGAGAGATCAGTTTTGGGTTGCTTGGTTGTTTGGTTGCTTGTTTGGGTGGGGGAGTGGGTGGTCTTTTTTTGGGATGGGATGTGTGTGTGTGCACAGTCTACTCCGCTGTGACGTCAATTCCGTACACCTTCCGTCCTGCTTGCGTCGCCTCTCTGAAGTTCAATGCTCTGTGCCTGCTGCTGTTGTGTTTCGATTTTTTTGATTACGCCATTATTATTCAGTTATATATGCAGTATATATATATATCTATATATTATATACTTGTGTTTTGGTTTGTGGGAGCATGTGTGTGTGTGTGTATGTCTGTATGGCCCGATAGCTAAAGCATTTTATGTGGGTTTTATCGACTCTGCTTATTGGATTTAACTGCAGCTTCGTCTAAGGCCGGCAGGCAATGCTCTCCCCGTGCTTAGAGTTTCTTATACCAATATAGATAGTGTTCACCGTCCTCGACCATTAGCTCATCGACACCTTAAAAACAGAAGAAGCCATGGAAGCCAGAAGGGAAATATAAAATTATCCAAGACACAGCACTTACCAACAGGCGCAATAAGCTGATTCCCAGGCGTATTATTGGGATCGGGTAGTTCGGGCAATCGATAGAGCAGCCAGTAGTGGTACCTAGCAGGGATGATCGGATTGGGACATTGTGCCTATAGAATACTATACCATAGAAGAGCACCAGAGCTGCTACTCACCCTCGGGGCTCCTCCTTCTTGCCATACAGGGTGTGTACGTAGTGGCCATTGGGCCATTCGCGCGCTTCGAAGATGAATCTGTGGGAGTCGAAGAGAGCATAAGGGCACAAGAGCTTGAGATCTTTCAGTATAACACTTACCTGGGATCCATTTCGGCCGCCTGGGTCATGGCCTTGAAGAAGCTGGTGTTCTTCGGGGAGACCAGGGACAGGGAGAAGGCCTCGCTCACATTGGAGCCCACCCAGAGTGTGTAGGTGTAGGAGATGTTCTTCGCGTCCGACTCCTCGGCCGAAGAACTCAGGCCAAAAGGCACCGCCAGCTTGGGCTCACCGTTCTCTGTGCGGCGGAAGGGAGACAAGAAGAAAGAAGAGCTTTAGATGAGGAGGGGAGTCATCAGTGGTGAGGGGACACCTTACCCGTTGGATCGCTGCTCTCCCGTATCACATGATCGCACTGGAGGGCGCGCACAGCACCGAGGCCCTTCCAGCCCAGGGCCAGGATAATGTCTGCGGTGAGTCCGACACCGATGTCCGGCTCCTGACCATCCTGAAGCGGTTCCTCGCTCCAGCCGCCGTCGGCCCGCTGCCGGCTGAGAATGTAGCGCGAGGCAGCCGTGCGGTTCCAGTGCCCGGCCGGATCGTATTCCAGATCCTGCAGCGCCTGCATAGCTAGGGCCGTGCTACGCAGCGATCCGAAGCTACCGCGCTGGTCCTGTAGGCTGGCCAGGCCGCGGGCGGGCCGTCGGACAAAGTGCTGCAGATGGCGATGGCGGTGATCGGTGACGATGCACCGCAGGGCCAGTATGACCATGGCAATGGCATCCACGCTCTGGTCCGTCACACCGCTGGCGATGTCCAGGAGACGACGTATCTGCCGCTTCCGTACATGCGCCGCCGAGCTGCAGGCGGACAGTGTCGTGAGGGCGAACTCGATGTCCTGGGCCGGCTCATGGTGCTGCAGCGTGGCCACCAGATCGTGGCCGTGGAAGTGCTTGGGGTCCTTGCACAGGGACCCCAATGCCAGCACATAGCGCGCCAGCTTATCCAGATTGAGGGGCTTGGGCAGCGTGTGGTGGCGGTCGAGCATCGCCAGTATCTCGATTTCCATTTCCTTTACGGACAGCGTGTCCTCCAGCTCCTGGATCACCTGCATGTGCCCATCGGCACTCTCGTTGGGATCCCGGCCGCCAGACAGCTCTTTCGCTAGGATCACCACATGGGTGTCGTTGCCCCAGCCGTAGTCCGAGGCTCGCTTCTCCTTCAGCCAATCCAGGGCTCGCAGTATAGCCTCCTGTTCGCCCTTGGTGGGGCTCGCCGAGCCGATGATCTCGTGCTGGTGCGGATCAGCACCTCCTCCTCCTCCAGTGGCATTGGAGCCAGGCCCAGCTGTGGGTGGGGCCATGCCCTGTCCCAGGGGTGTGGCCTCCTGTTGATCCTGATGGGCGATGGACGTTGTGGTTGTGGCCACGCTCTGGTTACTGTTTGCGTGTTGGTTGTGGTTGTTGTTCTCGTTGTTGGTGTTCTGCTCATCGCTGGCATCGTTATTGGTGTTGCCGCTGCTCACCGTGAGATTGTCAAAGTCCGTGGTTATCATGGCCGACGCCGTACTGGAGCTGGCCGTGACAGCTGGAGCAGCCGCAGCAACGGTAGAGGCAACTCCGGAGGCGGCAGTGACCACGGCCCCATCAGAGCCAGAGGCATGTGCAGGGGCAGGCGCCGCTGCCAAAGTCACATTCTCCGTCAGCGTTGACAGCGGCAGGCAGCCCACAAAGAAAAACAAGGGAAGCAAGAGCAGTAGCAGCGGTGGCGACGACATCTTGGTTGAGGAGGGTCTGCAAAGGAAACGAATAGAGGATTAGTTCTACTTGTTATTCTGGTGCTCTCTCTTGCCAGAGTGGAGATGAGGAGAGGCGTTGCCTTGAACTCAATTTCCAGCGCGTTGCGACTCACGTCATGCAATTTATCGATAATCGCGAACAGCGATCGATATGCAGGACATGGATGGAACAAAGGCACAGCACATCACAGCACAGTCACATCAGCACCACAGTCACTCACTCACCCACTGGGCTCACGCTCACCTCACCCTCACCCTCAGCCACCTTCCACTGCTGCTCCCAGCCATCCTTCAACCACCTTCCACCATCCACCCATCACTTAGTCATCAAATTAAATAAATGCAAAGACTAGACAAAGTCCTTCATTTCATTCTTGTTGCTGTTGCTGTGTGCGTTGGTGGTTGGGGGCGGGGGGGTTGAGGTTGTGGTTGAATTGGGCTGGGCTGGGTGGCTCGGCGGCAGTGGTTCGAGTGCGCGGGTGCGGCAGCAAAGCCGTTTAAATGCTTCTGACAATAAAATTTGAACAAAACAGCAGGCTTACATAATAATACAATAACAACAATCTCGTGGCGGGGCGGGGGGCGTCTGCGATTGGCGACTGACGACAGCCGTTTGCTTTCCTTTCCGACCGGACGAAACTCAACGAAATTGCTATCGCAATCGCAATCGCCTCAAGTCCAGCCTGGAGAGTATTATCCTTAGGGTTCCAGCTGGTGGGATGCTGGGGCACACTTCTCGCTGCAATCAGTTTATGTTTTTTGCTTCCCTGGACCTTTTGCCTTTCGCCTTGCTGGGGGGAGTGGCCCTTCCCTGCCTTTCTTGCCTGCCTGTGTGTGCAATTCGCCTATGGTATCCTTTTTTCTCTTTCTTTGTTCTCGAGTCCTCGAGCACCTCTCTCACTCGCGTCGTGTTTATCACTCGATTGGTATTTGGCGAATGGGAATTTCTCTCGCTTTCTGCTGTTTGGAATTCAATAATTTTCCGAGTTGGAGGAATCGGGACGAAAACGTGACTGTGCGCGCAGCGTTGCCACAGTGCTGTGGGACAAGTGCAAGTGCAAGGATGTGTCAAATAGCTGGTAGCCTTGTCCAAAGAGAAGAGTTGTCACCCTCCTTCGATTAGGTTCGCGCTCAACTTCCATTTTAAATGAATAGATCAATTTTGGCTATGGATTATACTTTATAAGCGTCCTTCTAGCTGTTATATACATCTGCACAAATCTAGCACCTACATATATGGTATATGGTACCCCGATTTCCTAAATCAACAACAGCGGCAACCTTTACATGCTGCCCAGCAACATGATGCTGCTGTAAAAATAATATGGAAACAAGTACAAGCGCAGCCAAAGAATGTGTCTCTAACCACGATTTCATTAACGTAATCTCCCACAAACGCAGACTAATCCATTACATTTTAATCTGTTCAAAATCGCAGGATGGTTGCTGTTGGCAGGTTCTAGAACTGCAACTCTGTCTGAAATATTTCTGTCGGCAAATGCTGTTGCATGCGTAAAATGTTTGTTTGTTTACAAGGTGTCGGGTCAAGAAAAATAAATATGAAAAGTCATGTCGGGTGCAGAGGGGTGCAGGCTAAAGTGAATCCTTACTATTCTATTGTTCACTATTTTCAATGTCCACTGTACAAAATCATTGTTGCACCGTATATGCTTACGTACGGCAGCGGCCATTTTTGCGTGTTGTTTCTTTTCCGCCATCTTCGCTCTTTTTTG